TCGTGTCACAGGCTCTTTAAGCAGAACATAGACTTCTGGAAAACTCTCCCTCTGTCACTGGTTGGGAGAGTAAACGCAGTTAAGATGGTGGTTCTCCCACGTTTTACATATCTCTTCCAGTCAATCCCATCATGTGTACCGCAAAGCTATTTTAAGAAATTAGACTATTCTAACCGCCTTCATCTGGCAATATAAAGCGGTGCGTATCGGCAAGAAACACCTTTGTAAAGCTAAATATGAGGGAGGGTTTGATCTACCAAATGTTAGATGTTATATTACTGGGCAGCACATTTAAACATTCTGGCTTTCTGGAGAAGTGGTACCCTCACTTTCTATGGAGCGGGCGGCCTGTCTCGGAACTTCTCTCCCAGCCCTTCTGAATAGTCCAGTTAAGTCTAATAAATTACTATATGCAGGGAACTTTCTGGTACACAATTCTCTTAAAATATGGAAACAAATTAAAACATACTTGAAAGCCCCAACTATGTACATAGACAGCCCAATCTGTGGCAACCAAGCCTTTAAACCGGCCAGCGTGGATTCCGCATTTGCTCGCTGGAAGGAGAAGGGAGTGGAGTGCTTGAAGGACTTGTACCAGGGGGGCCACTTGATGTCCTTCGAACAATTGAGGAACAAATACGATCTCCCAGCCTCACACTTTTTTCGATATCTACAGATCCGGAGCTTTATGAGGTCTCATATAGCTACATTTGCAGATATACCACAGCATCGGGCACTTGAAGAGATAATTAATGTTAGACCAGGATGTAGAGGAAGAGGAGCAGTGTCAACCCTATACCAGACACTTCTTAGTCAGGAAGTAGTCAGCACAGAAAAGTATAGAACTGAGTGGGAGACATAATTGGGTATGCCGATCACTGAGGAATGTTGGGAAACATGTTTTAGGAATATTCACCGGTGCTCAGTAAATGTCAAGCAATTGAAGCCTGATCCCCTTGTGGCCATTCTGGGGTCCACGAGTGACACTGATATGAACTATGGCAGTGACAAATGGCCGGTGTTTTTGGGTACTGTTTTGGCTAAAAAACTTATTTTGAGGTTATGGAAGTCTGATGCTGTGACTTCGTTCGAGATGTGGCTGAGGGAGTTGGGTGAGATCCTCTACCTGGAGAAACTTAGATTCAAGAATGCAGGAAGGGGGAGAGTGTTTGATAAGGCCTGGGCTCCAGTGATGACACTTAAGAGGTCTGGGTGAGGATGAAGGTATGGGATGAATGATCAATAATGTTAATCCTGTAACTTTTATCTTGTTTTTTTTCTTCAATTTGCTATGGACATTTTTTCTTTGTCCTGGACTGCCCTCTTGTTTTTAGCATGAATATTGCATTTCTTGTTATCTCGCCCATGGATGTGTTTTAAAACCGCCAAATTGTACTAGTATGTTCTGAATCCGCTGGTTTGTTGTTACTGAAAATGGAAAATATGATTGCTTTGTTATACCAATGCGGTTGGTACAATACATTTCTGCAATAAAAAAAATCTTTAACATTTTTTTTCCCATCAGAGAAATTGACCCTGAGAATATGGTGAAAACCAAAGTAAGTGTTTCGTACGGTGGCCAACAGCTGCAAGAACACTTCCATTCGGAGAAACTTGCTACAGCTTCAGAAACAATGCAAATATAAAAACACAAATGTGCGCATCTTCACCAACTTGACAACACATGCGAAGGATTTGACTTTCACCAACAAATGTGCAACTGTCGGCACGGTTAGCCTGTCTCATAAATGTCAGTGCTGTCAGTATACCTAGCTAGCTAGCGTCCAGCAGATCTGAAATAATATCAGAAGATATCATGTGATCACATTGTTAGAATAAGCCAATAAATCTTACATTTTCGGTAACTTTCCTTTCCTTACCATTGTGGATCAAACAATTTTCTGTCACCAATAAACAACACAATGGTAGTAAATCTTGGTTTCATTGTGTAGGACCACCGTCCAGTTCACATCCACACGTCCTTGAGGCTGGTCCACAGAGGGATGAGCCACACCACCAGGGTCTCCCAGAGCGTCCTGACTGTCGAGGACCTGGAGACCATCGACTTTGGGAACTACATCTGTAAAGCCAAGAACCAGCACGGAGAGACTAGTGTGATGACCAACATCCTCTCCAAGTAGCCCTGGAGGCTGCGCAGAGTCATGTTCGATGTGAGTGTGTTGTGAGGTATAACTGGAACACACCCACCAGATGTCATGTATATACATAAGGAAGTCTACATTGCAGATCGTTATTACATAATAAAGATTTGCTACATCTTATGTGGAATGAGTTATTTTTTGTTGCATTGTTTTTCCCAACCAAAAAGAAGATTTTTTTTGTGTAGAGGTATAACACTTCATCAGGTTTAACACCCAGAGGAGAGGATCATTTATTCAGCAGGACAGAGCCCACACACATGAACCTAAAACAAAGAAGCGCTGACCTTTTATCCTCCACAGACCACTAGACCTAAAAACTGAACATCCCTTGAAACATTTAGAAAGACTAAAACTGTTTTACAACATGTTTCTGGAGTACAAGTTTAATATAGGTTCTCTAGAAAATATTCTGACTCTGAATTTTGTATCAAAAAGGGACAAAATAAATAGTGCAATTTATCAATTCAGATTGTTTTTAGGTGAAAAGTGTTGGAGATATCGATGTCTTCCTTCCTTCCAATATAATAGAACAAGATGGTGGACTGCTTGTGGCTCGCTAAACGGTAAAAATCTGAAACCTACGAGAGAAATGTTTCTTTTTACAAAATATGGCCCCTTGTTACTGAAGATAATTTACAGTCCTTTTCAAGAGCCGTTTCTTACATGAACTATCTTCTTTCTACTGAACTACATCCAGTAACCAAATCACAAAATAAATCTATTCATTTACGAGAGGCTTAATGCTCACATCTTAACAGGTGTAGTTTGGAAGAGAGACAATTGTTCTACAGGCTTTTATGAAAAATATGAATTTTGATTATGGGGTGAACTGTCCCTTTAAATAATAAAATAAACCGTTAAAGTTGAGTCAGAGTCTTTCAGCTTCTCTCACATGGACTACACCCTGCTGCTGGCACTTTTGAATTGGACACCTAATCAAACATCACTGAGGAATCATACTTCGCATAATTTATTCTACATTCAAATGAAATACTGGCGCTGGCAGACCGAGCCGCAGCCATTAAAGTCACTCTGGCTCTGCAGCATGTTGTGAAGAAGGAGAATCTGGTTTAGAGCTGAGCTGTGTGCCAGGCTGACACCCTAATGCTCTCCGTATGTGGAATGTGTTTCGCATGCCCAGAACTCATTTTGTTTCCAATGCAACACTTGCTGCAGTTTCCACTCTGCTGAATAGTTATGATTTTGGATTATACTTAAGGTAATGATATGAACATTTGCGTAAGGATATTTGGCTCAAACACGACAGGCTGAACCTGCTGAGTTTTAGTTGAAGTTCCAGGAAAAATGAATTCCTTTAATAAATATCTTAAAAGTTACCATTAAAAAAGGAGTTTTATCTGCCATGAGTAGGTCAAAATACACCCACAGGCATCTTTATTAGGTATACCTGTGCAACTGCTGTCTAAGGCAATTAACTAATCAGCCAATCACATGGCAGCAACTCAATGTGTTTAGGCATGTAGACATGGTAAAGACGACCTGGTGAAGTTCAAACAGAGCTCGTAACCACTCGTTATAACCAAGATATGCAGAAGACCATCTCTGAACACACAACACGTGGAACCCTGAAGCCGATGGGCTACAGCAGCAGAAGACCAGGCGCCACTCCTGTCTGCTCAGAACAGGAAACTGAGGCTACAATTCACACAGGCTCACCAAATTGGACAATAGAAGATTATACATATGTTGCCTGGTCTGATGAGTCTCAATTTCTGCTGCGACATTCGGACGGTAGGGTCACAATTTGACGTAAACAACATGAGCATGGATCCATCCTGGCTTGTATCAACGGTTCATGCTTGTGGGGTGATGTAATGGTGTTGGGGACATTTTCTTGGCATACTACCAATTAAACATTGTTTAAGGCCACAGCCTACCTGAGTATTGTTGCTGACCATGTCCATTCCTTTATGACCAGTGTCAGTGGCGACTCGTCATTAGGGGCAGGCACAGCCCCACCTAGTGTCAGCAGAAAGTAATGCAAATAATAATTCCCAAAATATGCAAAAGAAATACATGTTAAAATATATTTTAAGATCATGTTCAGTCATCTGATTCGTCTGTACATTGCTGTTTTAGTCTGGGTTCTTCTAATTTTTGTCTACAGTGTGCCTATTGAGCCGTGTTGAGCGATGTGGGGCAAGCCCCTCTCTCTGATGTTAAAATGAATGGGTGCTGTAAAAAGTATTTTTCTATTCAATGTGTGCGGCAAAAAAATAATCACCATAGGGGCAAAGTGCTGGCATACCTACCAAACGTCGTCTCATAATTCAGAGAGCTGATTGGCTGTAAGTATGTGTGCCGCAAAAAGTTTAGATGTGAAGAGGAGACGAGAGCGAGCAGCGTATAGCGATTCAAATCAGTAAAACGGAAAGAAAATGAATGAAGTTGACCTTCCACTTCAGCTTTGGTAAGTTCATTTTATGTCATATATTTTGTTGATCTTCTGTGTTTTGCCTATAGGCTATTGCTCTGCTGGATCGATTGATATTGTGACCTCGGTGACGAGTGTCTGTGTTTTCCTTATATCCCCATTATTATTTTGCGTAAATCCAATATAGCACCTTTAGGATGTACTGGAGAGGAGATTCGCATCATGGAAGTGCAGCCAACACATCTGCAGCGAGTGCGTGCTGCTAGCATGTCAATATGGACCACAATCTGAGGAATGTCTCCAGCATCTTGGTGAGTCTATGCCACGAAGAATTAAGGGAGTTCTGAAGGCAAAAGGGTCTGACCTAGTACTAGCAAGGTGTATAATAAAGTGGCTGGTGAGTGAATGTAGATCAAGGTTTTAAAACCCGACAATGCTACACCAGCTTTAAAACAAGACTTTATTAATTTTCATATTTCAAACATGGTCAATAAACCAATAATAACAAATCCACACAAAATACTCTTTTCTGAGACATTGCAGGGTCTCCCGTACGTACAAAGCAAAGCCTCTTCTGCTCAACTCTTTGCAAAGGCCCCGACGTTAAAGCTGCAGTAGGAGGGTTCAGTGAGGGTGATTACCAAGACTCAAACACATGCACAAACACTTGGATTGGTCCTTTGGTCAAAACTACAATAAAACAAGGAAATGTGGAAAACAAAACAAGTTTGAGGAACAGAACAGACAACATCGGTGCAAAAAATCCCAACCTTTAAAGAAAACTAAATAAATTCTGAACACGGGTCGAGACTCGAACAGCCCTGGTGATAGTAAGATGACACTTTGACGGACACTCTTCTGCAGTTAGCTGTGAGGAAATGGAGCAGGGATCCAGAAGGAGCAGTTTTATATTCAATGCATATTTCATATAAAAGACTGAGGAGGGACAAGGTTATCTGTATTCATAGCTGGATTTCCATTTGTGTCAACATGTGTGTATCTTTTACTGCATGTAGTGTGTGTGTGTGTGTGTGCGTGCGTGCGTGCATGTGCGTGCGTGTGTGTGCGTGTGCGCCTCTCCAACAAGTAACAAAAATAGTGTCCTGAGATTTCCTTCTCCCCCATCCATCAGAAGTGAAAGGCATAAAACAAGGGGGCCTTGCTTTTTAAGTGCTTCTGTGCGACTGGTGTCTTTAAAGCGTCTCTGTACAGAAAGTGTCAGAGTTCATCCGATCCAGAAGTCAGGCGTTGCTAAGGAAAACAAACATGGCTCTTTATTCCAGAGGGATAACTCAGAGGCCGAGCTTCCCGGAAGCGGAGGCCCATCGTTATCTGGGGGAGACGGGGGGGCTGGAGAAGACTCCGGAGCTGCGGGGGGACTGGAGGCTGAAGGAGCGCGAGGTGGAGGTGGGGGACACCTTGCGGGGGCTGCTCAGGTCTCCGTTGTGCAGCTTCCACATCAGCTCCTCGTTCTCCATGGACAGACGCTTGTTCACCTTGGACTCCTTGGTGAGGGACTCCTGCAGCACCGCCTGCTCCGTGGACAGCTGTCTGAGACGCACACATACACAGAGGACACGTTAGACATGCTCAAATATTTAAAGACGTGAAGTTGATCGTTTCTTCCCCCAAAATCTTATAAGATCCAAATAAACAACACATTAATCTGTCTCTCAATAATGACTGATTTCCTTTTCCTGTTGGTTGCTCCCAGCCACAGACCCATTGGTTGCTACTGAATATGTACAGGTAATTCAAGCATTACTCAGTGCAGTAAATAGTGCTTTTGTTGTAGACATAGTCCACAATGAACTACAATGCCCATATTCCACGAGGGAACCAGTGTATTTTTTTAATTAACTGACATTTTAAATGCCCTTTAGAGGTGTCCTCTGAGCTTAGAAAAAAAAATCTGAAGAAATGTCAAACTATTTGGCTGATTTTATTGTAAAGCGGCTGTATTTCAGAAACTACGATAATCACAACAAATATCTATTAACTTAAAAGTTGAATATCAAAGATAGACACGTATATGCAACGTAAAAAAACTATTGCAATTGGAAAACATTTAGTTAAATGTGGGGTAGGTACGTTTGAGAAACCGGCTCGAGATACACTTTTTGTTATATTCCATGGAATGCTCTTAACATCCCTGATAGCAATGAATATCTGAAGTGCTTTGACAAAAAATCCATTAAAAAGAATGTCATCTGTGGAAGCCGTGGCGCTGTAAAAAGCACGACCAATCATTTTAGCCGGCCCGGCTAAAATAACTGGATGGCCTACCTGCCTGTCAGCCTTCCATCTGTGCACAAACTTATCTCGTGCCCTCATTGGTCATGTGCGCGTTCGTGTGTGTTGGAGGAGGGGCTCTGTAAGGAAGTGGCAGATTTTTTCCGGTTGTGTATTTTCAAATTCTAGCGATCTCGAGCCGGTTTCTCAAACTTACCTACCCCACCTTTAAAGTAATGTTTACAGTTTTTGAAGTTTTTCTAAAATCTTGATTTTTACTATGATAAGTGTGTTTTTTTAATGTGTTCTTAAGTTTTATAGTAATAAGTGTTATATACCAGACTAATGCCAGTACCAGATGTCAAGACTTTAGATCAATCAGAGAACATGTGTGGCTTTTTCCGATATCATACTAAATATAGTATTTGCAGAATAAAAGGTAAATCGTGTTTTGAAAATAATGCAGCTATGATAATGTAACATAATGTAATACATGGCACAGACACTGAACAGTTGAGTGGATCAGAGCCGTCTGGTTTCCATTTCTACACAGGAGTGATCCGGTGAGCTGTTACCTGGACAGAGCGTAGTGTCTCTCCATTCGAGCCTTCAGGTCCTCATTCTCCTGCTGGACCTTCTGCAGGCTCTCATCCAGCTTCACACTCTTCTCCGTCTGGAAAGACAACAAAACAAAAATAACACAACCATTCTTCTGGTTGTTAAATGTCGGTTGCTCTTCAGTAATCCTCCTGATCATGTGCCTCACCAGTTTGCCGATCTCCATTAGCTTTTTCTCCTGCTGGTGCAGCTGCTTGTTTTTTATATCCAGCACCACTTTGAGGCTGTCCAGCTCCTGCTCTAGATAAAGGGTGTGGGAGTCCTTCTGCAGGGACAGAGAACAAGAGATGTTCAGGGACCGTCAGAAAAATGAGTACAGCCAGGGTTGTTCATTTTATGTGGACATAAATCCAGAAACACACAACAGAGGGCGCCATGCATCAGGGACAACGAAGCTCTGGATGTTTAGCTGTCATAGCGAAGGTAGTGTTTAAACTCCTTGTCCTTTTTAAGAACAAGAAGGTGATATTGAGCTGTTGCTTATGCAGCTCTCATCTTGTCCTATAAATAGAAGGCAAGCTAATGTGAGGTGAGATGCCCCTGTGGGTTCATCTTGAGGGTGTGGCTGTGCTGCATCCAGCCGCCTTGATTGTAGTAACTCAGGGCACCTGGGTCTGGTGCTGTGGAGTGATCTACACTCGCGGCAGAGGTGTAAGACTTTAACCCACTCCTGTTCACGCTGTTAAAGAATGATTCATGATTAACAGTAACAACTCTTAACCACTAGGTTTTTGAACCTGTGTGCCTCACTGAGTGATGTCCTCAGGGGACAACATTTATTATTTTTCACTTTCATGTAGTATATTTTTAATAGCGCTGGTCATAACAACTGAAGCATTTCAAGCCTTTAAATGCCTATTTGTTCCCATAATCCCAACAACTAATGAATTGTCTGCTTGGGGGGGATTTCTTTATCAGTCTGGGAAAAGTCAGCGATAAGCACCGTCCTTCATTTGGATGGATTTCTCTGTGGAAGAAACTAGCATTTATTTTTTTCAATAAGGGCAACGTGAACAAACGTTGTGGAAAATAGTAAAAAATACACATTTTAGATTCATAATATAAAGCTTGCTATAAGAGTGAATCATTTTATGTTGTGGCATTTCATATTTTGTGTTTTGGGACACACACACGTGTTTATCCCTAAGGGTCTGACTATCTTTGTTTTGGCTGCACAGTTTATACTGGAGGAGCTGATGTTCAACTTCCAATATTTGAAAAAACAAAAACAAACTTCACCCCGATGTCAAGATTGATGCCGTTTGCATTAACACAGCCAACATATTCATTTTTAAATAATTGTTGTATTACGGTATTTATTTATTTTTGTTTTAGGATCACTTAATGGATTGAACTGTCACTTGAGCAAAATATAATATCATGTGACTACAAATAAAGAATAATACAAAAAAGCAGAAATGTACCCTAGTGAGGCACAAGAGAAACTGTGAGGTGTTCATGTCTGCTGGTGGGTTTTCTCTGCTATCGCTCCTGCTTAGAGGCTATCACTGGGTCATGAGATGCTCCTAAAGTGGCGCTCTGCTATAATAAGCACACTGATAAAGGGGGGGGGTACCTGACTCTTCTCAGCCAGCTGTTTCCTCCTGTTCTCCATGGCGCTCAGCTTCTCAATTAGGGCATTGTTCTCCGCTGTCAGCACTTCAATCCTTCCCTGTGGACGTACGCAGCACAACAAAGTCTCAGAATACATTTTACACACTGTTGCATTGGTTTGTAAGTTCATTTATTTGATGAAAAAGGAAAAACAAAAAGTCAGTCTTACAGACAGAGTGTCTCCTGTCTCCTTCAGAGACGCGTCCAAAGACTGCAGCTCCTGGTCGTGGACTGTTCTGATCTCTGAGGATTTATATCACATCAGAAATATTTCAGACATCTGTACAACAGAGCTCAAGGCTAAGAAGTGTTCTGTTATTATGCAATGGAACAATGCACACATGCAATTGTAAACCAAGGTAGGAAATCAGAAGTTATATAAAGCCGAGGTTTTCTGAGCTTCAGAGCAGGAAGGCAGTTTCTTTTGGATCAGATGCACTTCTCTCACCTTGCAGGGACGCTTCATACTGCTGCTCCACAGACTGCAGCTGTTCTGCATGGCTGCTCTCCACTTCCTGCTTCATGGACTCATGAGTGGCTTTCAGCTCTTCCATCTTTAAAAAAAATAACACAGGGTAGACCTTTGAAATATTAGGCATTACTGTTCACTGCAATACTTAAGATTTGTGTTACTCTTTTTCTCTTAAGGCAGAGAAAAGATTAAATAAACATTGACATTTTAACGCTACAATGACAGTTTATATAATATAATGAATGTCCCGCCCTCCACTGTGGTCTGAGCCTTTACAGGGACAGCGGCTTTCAAACTAATTCAATTAAACTAACAAGACGATATACATGAAGAGGCAATACTACATTTTCCTCCATATATTATTATTATTAAAATGTACAAAAAAATATCATAATTTAGTTAGGCAAATTATCCATATGCAACGTTCTATATGATAGCTCACGAGAAGCTCTTTTATAATTGTTGGCGTATTCTCTCATGAATGTTGAGCAGTTCAGAAACTAGAAAATAAAAGTGCTGTTAAGTTTTTGGTTAGGGAGAAAATGATCATTTGTGTTCATTGTTGCGTAACTGAAGTATGTGGCGCTGATTACGAAATGAGTCCTCGGCACATCTTAGGTCAAGGCAAGTATATTTAAATGACACATTTCAACAACAAAGAAAGTCAACGTGTATTAGAACAGTGCAAAAGAAACACACTTCAAAAAGCCAAGAGAAAACCATTTAAATACAGCAAATACATGTAAAAGAGGTACAGGAATAATAAGTAGCGGTGCAGTGCAAGATATTAATAGTTATTGGATTTAATAAAATACCTAGTTGCATGTCCAAAAAGGTCATCAGTAAGCTTATCTAAGTATCACAATATAAAAGTAATGTAGCCTAATGTAATTGTAATCAATGTGAACTTCTTTTTGTAAACTGATTACGTAATGTGGTTCAATGTAATCCTGATATAACTCAGTGCTGCAGGTTCTGGTTCAGAGCACCGACCTGCTGCTGCAGCAGGGTCCGGCTCCACTCGCTCTCCTCCTGGTGGCTGAGCTGCACCCGGTCCCACTCGGCCTGGTAGATGGCCTGCAGCCTCTGCTCCAGCTCCAACAGGTCCCGCTGGTGCTGATCCTGCAGCGCCTCCTCCAGGGACGCTCGCAACTCATCCCGCTCCTTCTCCAGATGCTCAGACGAGTGCACGGAGCAGACTGGAAACAGAAAAACTTCAACTTGAGTTTTTTTCTCTTGGTAAAGATAGTAGCTTTTACCTACTATGTAGCGATCTCTAAGGACATCATTCCAGCTTTGTCTGTGGTTACACACAAGCCTTTTTCTTTGATGTTTTACCTTTAATCTAACACAGTTCAACAGTGCCCTCGTGTTACTAGGCAAACATAAGAGTTTTGAGAGTGCAGGTTTCTAGGGGTTCTCTGGTTGACTTTCTAGCTGGTTAATAAATGACACAAGTTCTTTGTCAAAGACAGAAGTAGTTTGTCCCTCTCAGGTCACCAGAGTGAACTGATTTGGTGATTTCATGCAGCTTTGTAGACTGTAATACTCTTGTCTATTAGTAACTGCTTAGGTAAGAAATGTGATCCATCCACTGAGGAACTAGCAAAGTTCTGCCTTGATGTTAATGTGTGACACTAAATGTGCTCCAACAAGGAATGGAAAAAGTGACTTTAGAGGGGAGGGTCCTCTTGCACTTGACTGCATGTGCCAACTACACTGCAGTTATTAAAAGGCAGATGAAGATAAGTCTCTTAATTCCTTCCCACTATCTTGAAATCAGTATCATAAGTGACATACCCGTACACCAGGAGTCTCTTCCTCCCTCTCCAGCTGGCAGAGTGCCATGTCTATGTTTATGCAATAGGTGGCTTTAGCTTTTGTTCTGTAATCCAGTCTCACTATTTCTCAACTGTTTCCATTGCCAAGTGCTTGGGTCTGCACTGGAGTGGGTGGCGGAGACCAACTCCATAACCTCTCTGGTTTAAGTGCTGGTGCCAAAACACAGCCAGCCAATGTTAACTTCCACTCATTAGTGAACTAACACTGATGGAGTACAGTAAGAAGAGCAGCTCTCATGTATAGCAGGTTATTTTGGTCTCAAATACATGATGTGACAATAAACCACATTGAAGTTGAGACTATGTGAGTCTTTAATAGTGGGCGTAATATAATACTGAACCCAGATGTTGCTCTGCTATGCTACAACACGTGTGGCAGGAACATTCAGTGCTCTCACAAATCATCAGAGCAAAACTAAAAGGTACATAATAAAAGTCATCTTACAGTGTTGTCCTGTTCTAGAGCACAGAATAATGATTCTGAATAAAGATTTAATGGTTGTGGTTACCAAAAAGAAGCAGAGGGAACGCCCTGTCTTAGCATTTCAGAAGAAGGAGAATAGGATCAATTAGGAAGACGATAAAGGAGGAATATTTAGAAGTAGAACAAGTAGACCATTTATTTATCCCCAAGTTGTTGAAATTCAGTTCAGGATCTATACACATTAGGTCTGAATACATATAAAACATATTTCTGTTATGTAAAGGTATCAGAGCAAACAGGCTGCCAGTTTTTCAGAGGAGGTGAACTGGCACATCTCCAGCTACCAGTCCACACTCAATCAGTATTAGTTTGGGTCCAATCGGGACTTGAACCGTCATTTAGTTCCCAAGTCAAGTCTCTACAGAATGAGTTGCCGCCTCTTTAGCACATGATGTTTCCCATTTTAGCTTTACATGCTGTAAAAGTTGTTTATAGTTCAAACTGATCTGAGTTAAGGGTTGCAATAACGTTATTTTTAACAACTTCACAGACAAATAGTTGAAAATCTTGATAAATCATAATTGACATTCTTATTGGATGTCTATACACAGTTTCAGAGTCTGTGTTTCTGAACGGCTAAAACAGAGCTGCAGTTTGAACTCATGCACCTCATGAGCATGAGGATTCACCTCAGTGAGAGTGGAATGAGCGATCCAGGAACAGTGGCCAAGCGAGAGACTATCTATCAGGCTAGGGTTGGCATGTACAGCTCAACAACATGTGCAACAGAGATCTGGTCATACGAGCCTTTTCTAGTCCAAATCCACACAGCCGAAACACCTCATGCCTCATTCTGGGGAGGAGGCATAGTTCATCTAAAGTTAGCTGCAGTTTGGCCCACAGTCAGGAATGATAAAAGGGGGTGTGGTCCTATCACAAGTTTGGATGTGGTCCAAGAGTGTACTGAGAGACATCCCTGTGGAAGCACTCTCAAGAGGAAATACAACTAAAAGCAGACTTATAAATGTGTCTGGATATCTAGCATCTTTTGAATCAAAGGTTAGTGTAGGAAAGAATGTGTTAAAGCTCAGATATAACAGCGCTCAGCGTATAAGAGCAGTCATGTGGAAGTCCCGAGGCCGTGAGGGGGGGGCGGCACAACAATAGGGCTGACCTAAGTATGGGAGTGTGAGAGTGATGAAATGCATGTGCCCGTAAATATAAGGCTATACTGTGGGGCAGCTCACAGGCTGGACAGAGAACACGGGTCATTAGGCCTCAGGTGGTGGGGCATTCCACCACTGGGGGGGGGGGGGATGCTGATAACTGATATTGGAGTGGTTGTGATCATTTTTCCGTAATTTTAACATTGAACAATATATACAACTGATCATTGTGTGACTTTTTTTAGCAGATCTGTCTAAAAACAAATATTTTGTAAAGAGTGTAGAATTACATTTGTACGGTGGGATATCTCTGCAGCTCCACACTACTTTATTTAAAATAGTATTCAACCTTCAAATATTTTGCTTCTGGCTATTTGGTTATTACATTAATCCATTTTGTGATTTTTAAGAAATCTTCAATTAATTGTGCAACCCTAGAAACTGTCATATTTCATTTAAGATGGGAACATATCTGACATATTGTATTTTTATATAATTAAATAAAGACTGTCTTGTGCAAAGTGATAAGTAAACATAAGAGTCCTTGGCATCAAATGGCCAATGACCAAGTAAACAATGATGGAACCAAGTAAACAACCAAAGACTCATGATGAAAAACAATTGTTCCTCATTCTCTAAAGTTAAACAAACGAGATCCAAAGTGCTTCCTGACTGGTCATCCTAACTGAATAATATAAAAGGACACACTCTTAGCAGAAAAGAGAACTAAAAGCAGAGCAGGAGTGTGTGCTTTGCTGATAACAACTTTAAACACAGCCGGTGTGTGTGACCAAGGTGACCTCACTTACCCAGCTCTCCTTGAAGGGTGACCAGCTCCTGGGAGAGATCCCTGCACTGCTGTGTGGCTTCATCACGCTGCGGGGGGGAAACAAACAGTCATGCACATGTTCATGCAGGTTTCTGACATAAATCATCACAGTTAAGATCACAATGGCAGCATAATGACTGTAAGGTTCATTCCTATATGAAGGAATGTCCTGACAGGGCAACTCCCGACACAGATTCTCCTTCCAGGACACTGTTTGAATAGCAAATGCAAATAAATTACAAGCACCAGAGCAACAAGGGAGGGGGATTATGGAAAATAGGCATTCAACTCGTGTTTTCACTCTGAGCACATGCCTGCTGTCAGCTTTCACTCCTCTCATTCTGACTCAGGTTTGCAGTAAAGAGGAGGCTGCGCTGAAACTGCAGTGCTCATCAAGACTCCAAACTGACGCATCCAAACCCAAAACCTGTAAATACGACTCTCCGCTGATTCATTAAGAGCCTGACACTAACTGTCATACAGCCTGCATAATTAAATCATGAACCAGAGGAAATAGAAAGAAAGACAAGCCCAACATGTCTTCACTGATTAGTTTAAACAGAAACAAACAGTATTCCTCTCCGTCCTGTTAAAGCTCATATTCCTCACTGCAGATAGAACAATGTAGAAGCCAGTTACCCTCTCTGCAGCGTATGGGGCACTAAGGCACGCTCTGCTGCCAGAACAGCCCATGATCCAGCCTCAGCCTGAGGATCGGTAGCGGGAGTCTCTCCCCCCCCCCCACCCCCCCAGCTACAGAGACCCAGTACTCCAGGACAAACGGCGGTCCAGGTGGACACACCACCTCCACACGCCTCCTCCCAGACTGCTCTGACTACATCTGAGGTAGCACTGAGAAAGCCGCTGGCTGTGGAGAGTGACTGCAGAGCGCATTACCGTAATACACCTAAAAAAAAACCACAAAGGGGCAGGCTACAGTGCGCAGAGGACAGCCTCCTCCCGGCGAGGTGGGGTCACTTTAAAGCAGCAGGAGTGGAGCAAACATACATTGTGCAGAGCTGCCTGACATTAGGCTGATGGAGCAGGGCTTGTGCACTGACCTCCCCCAGGGGATACATGGTGAGGCTTTATTACCACCATCCTCCCCCACTACTCATCCAAACCCACATCCAATCACCCCTCTGCATCACCACCTTACGATAAGCTCTGCAGCTACAGGATCTATGAGCACTATTTCTCCATTACGAGATGATATCATGCTGACCGATCACATGTTACTCTACTCTGAAATGAATGTAACTGTTTTAACGTTTTAAACCAAAGATAACATTTATGTCCTGGGACAGTTAGGGTTAGTTTAGTTATTTTATTATAATCGTTCTGTATAATACATATACTCTACAGTTGTAGACATGTTTGTAAGATATATTTTAAATATGTTTTGTCTTGTGTGTAGTAGTCTATTCTCAAGCTTGGGAAAAACAAGCTTTTCAGTGCGTGTTTGTGAATAGAATTCATTACCTTAGTTTCTGTGTGAAAGTATAGAATGAAAGAATACTGTAATTTTCTGAATAGCCACCTTAGTTATCATGCATCCGACTTCATTAGAAAGAGCACATGTTAACCATCTTATAACTCAGCCTATGTAACTCTAAGGGACATCTATCCAGGAGCAAAGAGCAGACATGTCCCCGGTGTATATCAATATGATGCCATGTCAGGTGTAGAATAACACTTGATGGTAGACGGAGATCAATGTCTAATTGCCTCTGATCAAGTTACAAGTTCCTAGAAATATTGTGAATTTCAAGAGAGGTAAAGTGAGATTGTACATTTGGGAATGTGCTTGCATTCCTCCGCTGAAGAGCAACGTGTTTCACAGCTTTTGCTCTTTGAGAGAAGGTATGTCTAACCAGGTCCAGAGCTCACACACTGCATCCAAACACATGATAAGAAACAGAGCTCTGCCCTTGGTGAGCGTTTGGCTGCTGTTCATCGTAACCATATCAAGTCAACAGCTGGGACATTCTCACACTATGTTGAGGAGCTGCTGCCTCCTATTCTTGGGCTGATGAGTGACCACCAGATTCCATTACACACTGCATGCACACAATACTTGGGTAATACCACACGTGAAACACGGTTACTCTTGTGTGCCGAGTTGATGGCTTGAAATCAAATGCAAGTTATGTGTGTTTTATTGGCTGAATATATGAATTGGAATCTTTGGTTCCAGTGGAGGACATACTGCGGTGGAAGTTGAGTCAGCCGCTCTCAATGACAGAGGAACAAACATGTTGTGTTTTTAATATTTGTTGATGTGATCAGTTTCACAACCCTGCCCCCCTAACATGGGAAATGAGTCAAACAACCACCAGCTGTCACATGACATGAACCAGTCTCATACATTTAAAAAAAATGCCAGCGTTGTTTTGCACGACTGCACATATGCATCAGTCAATACCATCCACACCATTCTCAAATAAGTTACTACTGGCTTTCTGGTGCTTGGAATGTTGTTGGCGGCCCATGGTTGATGGTGTTGAAGGTTCCTAAACATCTAAGGAGCAAATGTCAAAATATCTTTGACACTTGACTGCATTATCAGGATAGCTTTATATTTTGGGGCGGTGCAACTGGCAGCAGAAGACACCACAGAACTCATTGAAGCCATCTGAGGCTAAAATTGGACTGATATGAACTGTGTCACTATCCAGAGCACTGCCACAAGGGATGTGTCTGGTGTCAAACTCTGAAGTAAGAGAGTTTCTGTAATGTAGGCCAAAGGAAACTAATTCATGGGTTATTTTCTACATTTTGACTTAAAGGAGCAGTGGTTTGCTTTTGAAGCGCACAACCATGTTTATACATTTGGTAAATCTCATTGACTGACATCCCCTTGTTTTTTGACCACGTTTCATGTTTGAAGCTAAGGTAATCAGTAGTTTCCTTTCCTCCGGAGTCCTTATGATGCTTGGTAATAAATCACAAGGACAGGCATTGCTAGCAAACAACCGCGTTTCACTTCGCAGGAGCAAGAACCCAGAAGGAGTCCCTAAAGCAGCGACACGTATTTGATCCCTGACCCAAAAACAATGCCAATGTGCAGGTGTGATGGCCCTTTCTGCTAAGCTAGGCGCACCACAGCTGCAGTAGGGTTGGAAACAGGGTCCTCCATTTCCTCTGCCCCTCCCCCTAAAGCTATCGTTTCTGCAGTTCAGGGATGCTAAAGTGAAATAAGATGGATGGTTCAAGCAGGTTGATTTTACAGCCCAATGTCTGGCATGTTATGGATTTGGCCTCCACTCCCTGTGCTGATGTGTCAGAGGGGGAGCAACATGTCAGACAAGGTCCAGTGCAATGCAAAGGAACGAGGGCAAGTTCCCAGCGGCCTCTAGAGGGAAGTCCTGGCAGCCCCTTGTGTAAGTGTTTTTGTCAACTTTAAAAAATGTTATTTAGTCTTATTGCTATGCAAAATGTCTTTGTTAGTTTGCATCATATCAACAGCAAAGGAAATTGAATTTCTGCATTGAAAACAAGTCTTAAATAAATGTTCTCCCCTCTTGTCAACTAAATATTTTCTGAAAGCTGTACCTTAGTGCAGTTTTTTTCCAACCTTTTGTGTTATTATATATTTAGTGATAATAGTTGGAATGTTAGAGGGGGAATTTCACTGACATGATCTTTTTCAGATAGAAATCGATATTGGTTGGTTTACCAAGTGTTTCTTTAATAATCTATGCACATCTCAGTGCGCTGATGAAATGCTTCCTCTCTAACAATAGGCAATGCAACAGGCATTATGAGCCAGGGGATAATGAAGAGTGGAGGAAGAGATCAAATCCTACATATAAGACAAATCCCTTCTGGACATCATATACTATCAATCATTTTTAGAAATAAACAGCACTATACCACAGTACCTAGTGTTTGTTATACATAGAAAACAACGTTTTATGGTTTCTTACTTATATACATTTCTGAATTCAGAACATACTTTTTCTCGAGCCAAAATGAGTAAAATGTAACAAATTGAAAAGAAGGCGTTACTTGTCAAGATACTTCTCAACACTAACATTACTGTGTTTATGATATCTGGACGAGTGGTGTACTCCAATAAAGTAAATACAAGGCCCTAGTGTTAGAGCCACTTAATATCATCTTATGTCCTCATGCATATTTGGTTAGTACATTCCAGTTGTTCCATCAACACATGTGGTGTGAAAAGGTTTGACAAGGGCCCTTCTAAAGTTAACAGGGAGACTGAAATAGCTGGTGGCATCTCATGTGCTCACAGGGTATCCGTTTTATTCTTCTAGGTTTACAGGAAAACAAAGATAGGAATCTTTTCCGACTGCATGGGGTCATTTTAATTCAATTCTATAATTCACTTGTATTAGCTTGTAGGGCTACTGATTAAATAAACCTAATAGCAAGCAGCAAATCGTATTTTTGCTTGGAGTACAACTCAATGAGGGAGTATGGCGGTATGGTTGGCTGATATGGCGTTATATTTGTGCCTCTATCCTGAGCACGCAATGAAACATGTTGAGCATAGAAAATGCTATTGAGCGCGCACTTGAACAGTTTTGAGCACAGAGAAATATATTTTCTCTCATAAAACTCCTGCTCCGTGCGCAAGCAGACCGCTGCACGCGCTCGCTCGACCTCTCCAGCCTGTGCGCGCTCAGCTTTGCCTGCGCTCGCTCAAGTTGTCACAGCGTTACAAATGTGCCACAAAACCAACCAATCGGAGAACTCGAGAAGGTCAATTCTGATTGGCTGGTCGTCTCCAATCATATCTTCTATCTGAGATGAGAGAGGGATTTTCGGTTGCCATCAGGCTGTTGACGTTCTTATTACACATCTATCGTTGACATTTACAGGACATGACAGACTCGAATGAAGAGAATAGCACGCCACAGTGTCAGGTGAGTAATACATTTCTAGTTTTCTGATATCACGTTATTGTTTGCAATGCCTGAGTTTGCTAGCCGGCAACACAGCTATAGGGGTAGTTTAAGCAAACCGCTAACAAACCGTAGCATGCATGTAGCTACATGAACCCTTCTGAGGTATTGATTACTTGCTGTAAGCATTAGAGGTGGCAGAATGACAAAACATGTTTCTCTCTCTATCACAATGTTGGGTTGACCAGAACCTGGACCAACTTCTGTTTCCTGTTCTACAATGGGCATATGCTTGCGTTAATTTTCAACCGGACAGATGAGGCTAGGATACCGGCTAAAGTTAGCAACACACGTTAACCATGAAGCCTATTAATCCGTTCTCTTAATGTTATTTCTTCCAACGTTGTGGAATTAGAGAAAAGGGGCTTCTTAACGTGCTTTTATCCGGGGTGGAGGGAGTTACATATTAGTTAAATATAACATTGGGGCGTGTGATTGTAGTGGGTGGAGAAATGAGGATATCCATCTTGGAGTTCAAGCTAGTATAATATAGTTAACGTTACACAATAATAAGGAAGAGAGCTTTTGTGTGATACATCGCTATTGATATGGATTTAGAGTGGATATTTGAGACTTCTAAACAGTAAACAAAAACGTAACTGATTGGTGAGTGTTTTTAGCAGAGCCATATTATGTCTTTGTGATTCTGTTCATTATTACCTGTCTGTATTATGTTGCAGCTCAGCTGATTTTGGATTGATGGCAAAGGGAGAGGGACTTAAGTGAGAGTGAAAACACAAGGTACGTTTAAAATAGGTCAGCAATTTCCCATCCTATAGGTTGCTAGATGTATCTAACCCTTTCTCCTGTCGCCCTCTCTCAGCACAAGAACCCCAGGGGGATTCAATGGAGCATGAAGACCTGCACTGAGACCCTCACCCTGCACCTGAGTCTCAACTCCCAGAGTTTTGCAAGCCTCTCCCTGTTCCTTATTTTGATTAAACAGACGTTAAGCTTCCCAATGGTGTGGTCTTTGTTTTGTGAAAGATATGATTACCTCACATATGTTGTTGCTGTTGTTGTCTTTTGTGATCGTTAAATTGCTCCTGCTGACTTGAGCAAGCCATTCTTTCCTCCTCTCTGTGTCAGTGGGGAAACTTTACATGTGTACTCCTTTCTCTGAGCGATTGGAGCATCCCCAGGCAGCACAGCAAACCATGGGGGAGACGATATGCCGGACAACACGGAGGAAAAGGCACAGACAAACTGCATGATATGCTATTCAATGTTGATTGAATTCCATTTATTTACAATGGATGTTCCAAAAACAACACATTTAACATCATCATCATGCTGCTGCTGCTAGCCCTTTGACTCATTGTGCTGTCAGTTGACAATCATTGATATAGGCACCTGTGGGTCTCCTGTCCTTTCTGAAAGTCATAAAGATTAAATTAGTACTTTAGATTACTTGTGTCCTCAATTACCAGGGGATTACTGAAACCACCATGAATTAAAGAAATGGTAGAATTGTATCTAATCTGAATTTTGAAACCTTCCTTCCCTCCCTCTAAATATATCAAACATTAGGATGTGATGCTCCTGACTACCATACAGGTTTAAGAAGATAATATTTGTTTTAAAGAATTCAAAGCAATAAACAACAGGCTCTTTAACCAAGGCAACGTTAGCCTAACATGTATGTTAACAGGTAAGATAGCTGTTCACACTATGTATATTTTCTATGTTGTAATGCTATGTTATTTCTATTTAAGATGTTTACATTTTCGATTGTTTAATTATAGTCTTTTAACTGTCTAATGTACAATGCCTCCTTGTCTTTTGCTGCTGCAGCGTAAACATTTCCCCAATTGGTATCAATAAAGTAGGCTACTTCTTATTTTATCTTAATCCTCAAATATTAGCACATTTAAAAAAAAAAAACACACATTGATGTAACTACATACACATATCGATATGTTGTATAAATATTGCAAATCAAAACCTTTATTGACCACTAATTACCAAAAATTGCATTTCTATCCTGTTATTAATGCATTCAAATCGTGATTCAAATGGCCCGCCACGAACTTCCGGGAACTTTTTGAGTCTCTGAACCACGTGACGATCAAGCATTTTGGACTTCCGCTGTCGCAACTCTTCTCTCTACATGGCGCTGGACCAGCCAATCAGAATTGACCTTCTCCAGTTCTCCGATTGGTTGGTTTTGTGGCACATTTGTAACGCTATGACAACTTGAGCGAGCGCAGGCAAAGCTGAGCGCGCGCAGGCTGGAGAGGTCGAGCGAGCGGGGGAGAGAGAGCGCGTGCAGCGGTCTGCTTGCGCACGGAGCAGGAGTTTTACGAGAGAAAATATATTTCTCTGTGCTCAAACATTTTCAAGAGCGCGCTCAATAGCATTTTCTATGCTCAACATGTTTCATTGCGTGCTCAGGATAGAGGCACAAATATAACGCCATAGGCTGTTAGGATAAGCCTGTTTGTGCTGTGCGAAAGATGAATCCCTTGGGGCATCTAGTTCCTGGAAGCCAATCACATGGCACCACTATTAAAACCGATCCAAAACAAACAGCAAGTTCAAACATCCATATTTTTAAAGGGCTCTCATGCGACCTGAATAACATTGAAACATACAACTGAGCTTCAAGTTCATCTTCCCAAGAATAAAATCCTGCTGCAATAAAGATGAATTATTAAATCCAGAATTGCTTCAGTTGTTCCGCGCATTACAGCAACAGGGCTGTTTTGTGTTGGACAGCCTTCAAGTATGTCTATGACTGCAGCCCTCCGTACCCTTACAGTCACCCTCATGCTGTTTCTTGAAATAGAAATGGCATTTGGCTTGCCTTGTATCAACACACAGGACATGATGTTGCAACACTTGTAGTTATGTCATTAAGATCATTTCAGACTTACCCCTGTACATTCAGGCTATGTTGGTATTTTGCTAGCATTTGACATGGTTTTAATCCGTATGTTACAGCTTAGACTTAGTACTTGCAATTCTGTATACATATTTGATGGATATAAACAGTAGGATTCCTCAACGAGAGCTGTCTGCTTTTATATATATATTGAATATTCCTTTTTAAACCAGGCAACCTAGTGTGATAACATTAACCAGTCTAATCTTAGCTGCAAACAGTATAAATTGTACAACAACAATCACAAACTGAACATGGCCAGCATTTTCCAGAATTATCATCTTATCAAGAATGCACTGATGGCAAATAAAGTATATATCTCTCTACCCATCAATCCATTTATCTAACATCATAAGATTTTATTAAAATATTCTCTATACATGTTCAAAAAAAGGTCAGTGACAGATTACCCATTGCGGTAATTGTGCAATATGCTTCATTATGTCTTCTCTTTGTACACATTAGATCATTTGCCGGGACAAATCATTTGAAGAGTCTAATATAACATTAAAAAAATGCAATTTCATAAATAAAAAAGATTCCTACCTCAGCTAAAGCTCGCTGCAAGACGATGGCGACGGCCTCACATCTTCGGTTACTCGCTGCCAGGAGTCCTCTGAGCTGCTGGACGCTCTGGTCCTTCCTCCCCCCCTCAGCGACACTCGCTGGCACCACATCCGGTGGTCCGCTGCGCTGGCTCGGCTGAGACGTCGGCTGCTGCTGGCGGGAGGCGGCCTTCGGTTTGTTCTTGTCCACTGTGAAAGAACGTGTGTTGAGTGTTGTGACAACGTTGATCATCATCATACCCCACTCCAAAAACAATAAGCTGTTCTGACAGCCGCCGCCACCCCCCCCCCCCTCCAAACCTTATTTACTCCTGTGAGGGTCACGGATGCAGCGAGCTCCATTGTCTGTCCAATAAGAGAGCCTGAGGATTCTCAGAGCTGCTCCTCCGACACAACACATCCTCGGTGCAGTTAGTTTTCCATATCCCAATTCAATCTAGTGATGCAGATGCTGGCCCCCAAGGACAAACTATTTTAGCAACACCCTGCTAATGTAGCTTTGGTTTACATCAGCTTTATAAATACCTTAACCCCATACAACAGCTTCCATCAATAGTTTGTTTTCTCTGACACAAAACAGCAACTTCCAAACATAACATTTACAAACTGAGTACTGAGGACACGAGGGAAGAAAATAACTTATCCTTGATATTAGACACCTGTTTCTTGTGTTAGTTTGTGAGGAGACGTTATGTAACACAGCAGTGAGAAAAGCCTGGGTCATATGGGGAACACCAGTGAGTGGAATATATCGTACCACCAGAGGCCCGTGGCATTACTCACTCTGCTCTGTCTGTCTGTTATGTAAGAGCCATTAGTGCCAATGAAGACGAATACGCAAAAACACACATTTACATCATCTGATGTCAAACTGGAAAATTAAAACCACACTAGATCTCTTTTTAAAAACATATAGTGGTTGAATACAGCACAGTGTTCTCCTTTATTATACAACCCATGCTCATGAAGCTTTTATATTCATGTCCTTTATGAAGCACATTCAAGTTAAATTTAGATTGCACTAGGCAGGGTGTCATTTCATCCCAGAATGACCCTTAGAGACAGAACTCCCACAAGGCCGTTTACATAAGAAAATAATAATGTGTGTATTAGGCCTGCAAGTCAGATCTGCAGCACCATTTGACAGATTCTTCCTTGGCCCACGCTTCACCAATGTTCATGAAAATCAGGCGAGTTGATTTGTATGGAATCCTTCTGACAAGCAAGCAAACCAAACTGAGAAGCTTGGCTGTGGTAATAACACTAGCATGTACAGTCATTGTGAGATATCTAAGTCATGCTTACTTGCATACCTTTCTAAATAACACCCTGCAGTTTCTATTGACAGAGAAGGTATTTATTCTAACCAGAGGAAGTATGTTCCCTTCCTTCAGCTGATCCAGGAGCAGGGGAATAACACTCCAAGCTGGCAATACCCACAGAGGGAAAACTGATGTAATGAACTGAGAGGGTAAACACACTCAAGCTGTAGAGTTACCGAAGCAAAACAAAAACCTTCTACTCGAGTACAAAATGGTTAAAAGTCATTTGAATTTGAAACTTAAAATGCCAGTCTTAAGTTGACACAGCTCCGTATCAGGATGTGCGGTTCCCCTCAAAACTAGTTTCTCCCTGTGTCTCTCAGCCAAAGTAAACAGTTCAGCATAAAACACAGCGCCGCCTTCAAGTCAAACAAAATAAGACACACCTTAGTATATAACTTAAGTGAATTTGCAAATGTTGTTGCCTCTTTAATTTGGTGAGCAGTTTTAAATGAATGTTACTAATGTGTGTGGGATACAGGACACAAATGTGAAACAGATTTCCATCTCAATGTCCTGACTACATCCTCCTTATTGTTATTCATACACTCATTTGAACTCCACTTTCTTTTCTTTGCCTCATATATAGTTCATCAGTACAGAGTGATAAACGTGAAAGTCTCTCTGACACAGATCCAAACTCACAGTGGATCTGTGTTGCTCAGCTTTCAATCGTTTTGAAGAGGCTGCAGTTCACTAAATCTTAAAAGGTTTAGTAAAATGAGGACGCCCTCTGCTGGCTGTGCAGAGAGCGTAAGGGGACGCCATGTCCAGCTGCATCACAGCCAGCATGCACCACTAACATGCCTGCATACAGAATGAAGCCAAGCTCAAAGACTCAGGCTGTCAAACTACTGCACATTAAACTACATTTGTCAACAAATATATTGTGAAGATAAGTAGTTGTTAGTAAGTAGAACTAAAATATCTTATTCCCCTGTAATGTAGTGGTATGCAATTAGGGCTGCACGGTATGATGATAATACATGAGTTATATACGGGTAAGGTTGTGTTTTGTTTGTAGCATATACAGGAATATCAAAGTGGAACATAATATTACGTCCACAGTTTTCAGCAATTAATATGACCAGAGCAAGGTAAGGACCACATATGCAAAGGTGTTTTGAATTTACAAGAGAACTATGATGTTACAGTATGAGAAAATGCTGTTGAAAGAAAAATAAACTGATTTCAAAGTCTACTCTTTCTTGTCGGCTGCTCTAAGAATGCTGATCAAAAATAAAAGTATACTAATAAAATACAAGAAATTCTTTGTTGTTAAGGAAATTATTGACAATACTCTTTTACAGAATAAATTCAACATTGCACTGAACAAAAGAGGCACCAAAAACCGTTCAATTTTAAAAAGTAGGTTCCTAATGATACTCTTCTTGAACTAAGTGCCAATAAAACAAATCTGAGTGCAATATCGCAGTCTTTCAACATGTGAACAAAAAGACTATATATAATGCAGCCCTGCATGTAATGATTTATATGTAATAATTAATGTAATTTCATAAATCTTGTTCTTTTGAACTTGTTGCAAAATGTAACTACGCTCATGTCTATATATAGAGGAACTGGCAAAGACATCTTCACACGTATGTTTTTTGCCTACAAGCTGTCATCTTCTGCTCGTTTCCAGAAGACTAGAACTGGACATTATGTAACACATTTCTGCTGAATCTGAAAGAAAAAAAATGATCTTACCTTGTTAAATAATTCAAAATGGTCTAAAGATGTGGTCGGTTCAGAGATGTATCTTGTAGATAGAGAATATGGAAATTCACTGGTTTTCAGGGCTACAAACTACAATCCTGTACATGTTTTAATCAGAACATCTTTTGAGAGCTACCCAGTATTATTTAATTAAGTAATCACTTATCAGAACATTTTCATTGGCCACATATAGGAGTTCATTATCTGGCTTTATTATCTAATACAACTGTGCAATTTCATTTGAGTTAGACGTTATATAAGCACGCAGGCCGTCTCTCCCTTTGACCACTCTTCCATGGCAACAGAGGACCTGCAGCTATTTTCATCAAAGTGTCTGAACACAGCGATGATGACACATGTTGCCTTCTTCCTTTCCCTCCTCCCATGCACAAAGATGCATTTAATGTAACAATTCAACATCACTGTACACTTCACATCAAATACTGAGTGACTTAGTAACTCCGTAGCAGAGTGCTGTGCTGCTATAAGGGGATATCACACCATAGCACAAAGCATGATGGGTGATGAGACCCTTCACAATCAAGCACTTGTTTTAGTGCTTTTGTTGACACAATACCAATAACGGTTATACACTGGACACTTGTATTGCTTTGTTTAAATAAGATATAATCCCATTTTGTATTTAAAACCCTTTAAAACAGGATTATCATATAAGGTCATAACCTTTTAAAATAAATAAATAGGAGAATGGTTTGCATTATGTGGAAACCACAGGAAGCGTCTGCCTTCCCACAATCCCGTTCAACAATCAAAACAAGGTTCCTGTAGCTTGACCGAGAAACCAAGAACCAAAATAACCTTGGTTCATCTCAGGGTGAAACAGGAGCACAGGGTGTCACTGTGAGCAAGTGCATTCTGACAGTCATAAAAAGGTAGCCTCAAACATAATACAACTGTGTTTAAATGTCAATATGGCATTAAAGGAGACCAATCTGATGTTTAGTTTAAATATAATTATTCCTGATATCAAGATTCATATCATACAATACCTTTGCTCAGGGTTACATCTTTTGGTGAGCCAGGTGGGTAAATGAAAGATGAACCTCCTGCTTTGCCAACTAGTAAATAATAGCCAGACTAAAAATAGATTTCAGGTCCACGTGAGAGGCAAACACTGATAGGCTAGGCTTAAATACTACAGAAGAGAGAGCAAAACCCGTAATAACGCAGGTAGATATATTCAATATAAAATAAGTGACAAACCTGCTTTGAAAACCACCGTGTTCTTCCTGCATCCTGACAGCAGCTGAAGGCTTCGGAGTAAACCCTTGGCTGTCAGACGCACGTGGATGTTGGACAGGGAGAGCTTCGGAGACCACAACATCTCTCAAAAATAAAGCAGGGTGTTTTTATCCCGAAAAAAATGGAGTTTCTTAACTAAGAAGCTTGATGCTGGCTATGAACCACATGCCATGGTGTGCCTTAGTGTATCATGAGTTAAATGATAGCAGGACTGACAGGCAAACAATAAATTCATCAATAAAAAGCAGTAGTGAGAGCTACTCCGCTGAGACGGCCTTGAGAAAAGTGAAGGCACCCAGTTCAGCATGGCAGGTCTCCCAAATGTAAATCTAAATCCAGCTGTGAAGGCTGGCCAGCGGTGTGGGGCAGGGGGAACAAATCAAATCCTTTAATCCTCTTGGTAAAGCCAGGCTTCATCTATTCACCAAACACAGGAATCTCTCTCAGCAGAGCAAAACAGCATCTCCAAGCGCAATGATGGCGGTGCTGTGGCAGAGCCAGGATGCTCGGAAGAGAGCAGAGGGGGTTGGGTGGGAGGAGCTGACGGCAGCAGTGCAGCCAATGGGAATTTAATCCAGCCCCCCACTCTCATTTACCGTGTTCCTGTGTCCCCAGCAGTGGGATGGGAAAGGATAACAGACTTATCGTGGCACGCTTTTGTCTGGTGAGCTGCTTAGCTGGCACTGTGAAAGTGTGTCTGCAGGCATGACTGGAAATCAGTTTTTTAAATCCAAGAGTCAAAACAACGTGCCGACTAATTGAGTGTTATATAATGCAGCATGTTTATCATCTAGTTTCCGCAAAACTGTGCACTCAAGGGGGCTGTAATGACACTTTAGAGCACTGTAGAAAATATGCATCACATTAACTGTGAGCAGCAGAGAGCAACACACCCAAAAAAGCACACATTACAAGTGTAGTGTGACAGGAAACACATGTGGTCACTGATAAACACCAGAACTTGAATGTTCTGGTCAAAATGTAAGCTCAAACCATTGGATGGTTTCACAAAAATAGACTGACTGCAGCCTAGATCAAACTAATTGTCAGACCCTAGATAGAGGGTCTAATTTAATATGTTGATTATTACTAATTTACCAAGAAATTAAGACTTCATCAAACTGAACGATTGTATCAAACTGCTCGCCATGTTCGAAACACTATTTGTATTTCTTGGAAGAATGTTGTTGGCAGTGAATGGAGTCCGAGAGAGTCTGTAGACATTACTCTGGGCTTTAACAAAAAGGGCTTTTACCAACACACAATGTTTTCTTCAGGTAAAAACAATTAAAGAAAATAAATGTATTCATCTACAATTTTATATTTTTAAATAGGTGCTAAATAAAGGATAAGGCAGTAGCGGACACTGCTCTTTGAACAAATAATGACCTTTAAACTGGCGAACAGAGTTAGCACATTCATAATACAGAGGTTTAAATTGCATTGTTATACTTAATACTTATTGTAGAAAGTGAAATGACCAGTATCTCCTGAGTTCAAACCTTTGACAAGTCATCTCAATGGAAAGGTAAGAACACATAGATAATACACATGTTCAATCCAATGGAAACAACTCTTACCAGGTCCGTTTGGAGTTGGACAAACAAGTCTTGCAGAAGCGGTCCTTTTTAGAGGACTGACTGTAGAATTTGAAGCGCCTCTGATGGAGAAAGCGGAGGCAGGCTTGCATGCTGCGGTCAGAGCTGAAACAAGCAGAAGATCCAGGTGAGACACGCAGCAGGAGTTAAACTGACCCATGGTGGAGCATCAACTGACATCTGACCGCAAACCAGAGGCAGCTTTTAAACTAGAACTATTTAATGAGGATTGATCAAACAGGCGGTTTAACTGAAAAACAAAGATACCACTACTATTTGATGTTAATGGAAAATAAATTCAATCAACATCAAATGTCCCTCGGCAAACATCATTAGGGAGGAACAGTAGCTTTTTGTAGTTGAAAGTTTGAGTTTAATCACAAGTCAGACTTTACAGGTGTGTTTTCTTATCAAGTGAGAGGATTTGCCGGTGTTTAAAGTTCAATGGGGTCGGACTCACATTTACTCTTGAAATAAGAGTTCAGAAAGGTAGAGCTAATTCTGATTCAAATGTAAGATCAATGACTGGGATATATATTGACATATCAATATCGTGATACAAGACTAGTTATTCTCTTAGATTTTAGAATCCATAATATCCTAGTATTATATATATATATATATATTATTGTTGTTTCCTGATTTTAAAGGCTGCATTACAGTCAAGTTATATCATATTTTGAACTCACCAGACTTGTTGCATTTCCATTATTTGCCTTTACTCACTAAATCACTAAATCACTGAATCCACATTACTGGTGGTTATTTTTCTAAATTCTCATTGTGTAAATGTTCTTCATTAATGAATCACCCTTTGATGAGACAACTAAAATAATAAAAGAGACATTTCCAATATCTCTAATAAAAAAAAAAGTGTCTACGTATGAAGTACGAACTAAATGTGTGAGAATATGAGGTGATGGTTTTATAGCATCCAATAGCTAGATATTCATTTATGTTAAATACTAGTTGGAAGCTTACCATGTTCAATTGTAAAGAATAAAGCAATTTCTTTATATTCTATAAAAGTCCATTGTCAATCTACTTGCAATAATACTAATGTCATGTAAAAGTATAATCATGTAATGATCATTTCTCAAGACATGAGAAAAAAAGAGACATGATTGTACAGGAAAAGATAAAGGAGAAGTCTGTCTGATAGTATATGCTGAGTGTGCGTGCGTTCTCACGTGGTCCAGTGTTCTTCCCAGTTTTCAAACGGGATGGTTTAGGTGCAGCTCCTCCAGAAACTGTTACGGAACAAGTACAGAGATGCTGATTCAATAAAGTAGTAATAAAGAATGTTTGTAAAATGATTTGTAGAAGAAACAAACAGATCATTTCTGGTATAACCGTAAAGTGTCTTTGAGCACCTGTAAAATTGCTTGATAAATTAAATGTATTTATGATTATTTAAAGGTCCCATGTCATGCTTTTCTGGTTATTCCCCGTCCCCTTGTGTTATGAAGGTTTTTCTGCATGTAAACTCTGCAGAGTCACAAACCCTCAAAGTACACCTTGTAGCGAGTAAAACTCTAACACAGAAAATACCTGTCTATGCTGCCCCAGCCAGGCTGTGAGTGTGTGTGTTCAGGTGAGTTTCGAGGTATCTCGCTGTCTCGCAGACCCCAAGCAGCAACCAGGAAACGACCCCAGTAATCCGCAACGTCCCGCCAACACGGCACCCAGACCCCACGCAGCATTCTCCTCCGTTTGTCATTACTGGTGTCCTTTTCTGGTTGCTAACAAACGCCATTGTAAAACATAAACATTGATGTTCCGCTTTAACGGTGGTGCACTCATCAGAACAGAGGTGGCGAGCTGACCAATCAGAGCACAGTGGGCTCATAGGGAGGGGGGGGGTAGGAGCTCCAACAAGGCGTGTAGGACAGAGAGTGAATATACATACTATACAGAGACGCTGTATGAGAAACCAATGTGAGTTTGGAACATTGAACAATGTACATCTATTCTAGTAGACCTCAACAATGGAATTATGATCAGTAGGAATGGCCATGACATGGGATCTTTAATTATTTATTTTTTTCCTTTATTTAGACAGATAGGTCCCTTGAGATCACGGATCTCTTTTACAAGGGAGACCTGCATCAATTTAGTTCCACATGAAACATAAAAACAAACAATAGAGGACATCATATTTACAAACACCCATAGTGTCAGAAAGCATCTCGTGCAGACGTGCCTTAAAAACATTCAGAGAAATAAAATTGCTCAAATTCAATTTGGACTGTAGGCTGTTCCAAGCAAGTGGAGCTGCGCACATAAAAGCTGTCTTACCTAAGACAGTCCTTACTCTTGGTACATCTAACAAGACTACATCCTGCGATCTCAGACAATAGCTGCTTGCAACTTTCTGCTTTACCAGAGAACAGATGTAATACGGGAGTTTGCCCAACATAGCTTTATAAATAAAAGTGTACCAGTGACTGAGCCTCCGTACAGAGAGTGATGGTAAACCTGCCTTGGTATACAGTGATGTGTAAGCGCTTTACAATTTGTGACAAATCTCAGAGCACTGTGATACGCAGCATCTAACTTGCTCAGGCAATGGGCAGGTGCATTCATATACATCAAATCACCATAGTCCAGCACAGGTAAAAAGGTCACAGAGCCTTTTCCTGGCCTCAAGCGAAAAACAGGACTTGTTCCTGTAGAAGAACCCTAGCCTAACCCTCAGCTTTTTAAGCAGGTTATTGACATGAAGTTTAAAAGAGAGACAATCATCAAGCCAGATACCAAGGTATTTGTAACAGGCAACAACTTCTTTGAATTAAAACCTTAACAACCTTTAATATAATCTTCAGGGTAAAAAACAATTGATCAGATTAAAAACAGGTGTAATTTGAATCTGACCATTACAAACTATGACAATGAATCAATATCTAGAATGCAAAAATTAAAATGTACATCCTCCGTGCTGGACTGAGTGAAATACCCAGAAGATCTTTCAATTCATCACTGCACCCTGGATAAAGCAATTATGATGCAAGTCTCACTTACTTCTCCAAAGCTTTCTATGTTGACCATGAAACGCAGCTAACAAAGGGATGATACAGAAACGATAGGATCCAACAAGCAGGCATGTCAACAGAGTGAGATCACAGTTGGATGCTGCGCTGCCCTTCAGAATTAAAGAGGAGCCGTTGAAAGAATGAACTGTAAATTCAGTCCAAGTGCAGCTTCGAAGTCCTGTGTATCCGGCCATTGGCTTTTAATTGAAGAATAGAAAATAATAAGGAAACTGCTCTTTCTCTGCACCTCAGTTGTGTCTGCGTACACCATCAGTTGTGTCTGCGTACTCTCCTCCAGGCAACACTGTGTGTGTGTGAACTAGAGTGGAATAGAACCCGTTCCCATAACAACCACACAAGGGGGGTCCCCAGTTTGGAAAATAGGCCCTCTCAGCCAATCAGAGACCTGTATGCTGTTGAAGATGCTGCGAGGAAAAGAGCCCTTTTTGTATAATACTCTAATAATAAATTTTTAAAAACACAACACACCAGCACCACTCAGAGCTCAGCACTGGATTGATCTTAGTGTTGTATACCGATTGTTGATAGCTTTGAAAGAAGTCACCATTTCTCTCCCTCCTTCTCAAATATTTGTTCTCTACTTTATTGCCATTAATGGGAGAATGTTCATTTCACGTCACAGGTATTAGATGAGGTAGATAGGTGTCCAAACAATGTCAAAATGTGGAAAAGTATTCATAAGTGTGTGTCTTATTTTTCAAAATGTGTGTTTGTAAGGACACTTTGATATTCCTCTTTTTTTATAGAGCCTAAAATAAAGACAACTAAAAAAGACATCACAATATTATAAAGATGTATGTTAGCAGATGTGGGGGTATTTAATCTGAGACAGATTTGCCCTGGGGAGATTTACATCCAAGCCTAGCCCTCAAGTGGGTCACCATTTAACAAAGAGCCCTCCCCCCACCCACCTTTTGGTCCAGATGTTTTCAGAAAACACGCTTTGACAAAGTGGCCTGATGCTGGAGAACTCCTGCATGAAACTGATTTGATATCATTGTGCTTTTGTTCCTAAAAGCTCTGTAAGAGCTGGTAGGCTTACCGTGTGTACTCCCTTCACTCGGCTCAGTGAGACTCCTGGACGGCCCCAGGGTCTTGCGTGGTAGTCTAGAAGGAGTTGGGGGAGGGCCCATGAGAGAGGGTCGAGAGGAAGTTTGAGGAAGTCGAAATCCATTCAGTTGAGGCTTGATGCTTGATGTTGACACATTTTCATGGGCTGACTCTCCTGTCTGCACTCTCTGACTGCCTGTGTTCAATGGAGCACAAATACATATCTGAGGTGAGCAGCATGAACCCCGTTATTAAAGGATAAACAAGCATACTGAGATGTGTCATGAGTAAAAAGCTGGAAGTTAAAACATCCACAGAGCTCCCAGACAGGTCAAATCAGCCATAATAAACCAGCCAATATTTGATTTAACAGGTAATATTGAGTCCTTTTCATGCGATATTTGTCCATCAGAAAAACTAGTAAAAAGCAACTATAAAGCTAAGAAAGCAATGTATATATTATTAATTAAACAAATAAACAGGATCCCCAACACCTTACGCCATTTGTTAATTATAACTTTCAATATCAAATTGTACACAACTTACCAGCAAGTATCTTACTCATTACAGCAACCATTTCAAATCTGATCAAATACAAACAAATAAACTAAAACATGTTGTAGTTAAAGCTAAATAATGCATCCCCGTGAAGTTTCCATGTAGCTGGAGCATGAGAAAGTTACTGCTTTTTTTACTATGCTCAGGGAGCTTGTTTCAAACATTGTTTTTTCACTATTGGCGAGCTCAAAACCTCCCTTTCCTTCCCCTGCTTTCCGCCCGTACAGATGGCTTCCCATCAGAGGAAGAGTCCCCCTCCTTCCCCAGAACTCCTCTCACTATGAAGAGCAGCAGGGCAGAGGGGGTTAGCTGTGTATTCACAAGACAAGAGACGACACCTGTGTCCGACACTGTTCCTGTGGAACATGGCTGAGCTCACCAGGAGGACCACACTCTATAACTGGTTCTACTTTGTGTTTCCACCGCACAGAGCCCTAGTGGTGCCGCGTCATTGTGTCATCGTTTGCGTCGTGACGTAACCGTTTACGGCATGCAAAATCCCTCACATCGACAACAGCAACAATGGCAGACAGAAGTATCGAAACGCTGCTCATGTTGCTCTTGCTTTGTCAAAGCCAACTAGAAATATTAGAAAGACTTCAACAACTTTCCATTCGTCACCAGCGACGTTCAAATGTTCTTCACACTCTTCATCATCAACAACAATTATGTAGGACAAAACTCAAGGCCCGGGGGACAAATCCAGACCGCAACCTTATTTTATGTAGCCCGCGAGAGCTTGCAAAGAATATCATAAGTTTATCCTACGTTTAATGTAGCTTTATATATGCCAATAAACTACATGGCCCACAATGCATCTTGTTTTGTCACCTGCGCACTGAAGCATCTTAATATCAGCCGTTTATGAGAGTGGCAGTCTGAGTGAGGCGGTCTGTGACAGAGATCAAGGAACAGACGTTACAGCGGCACCAAACACAGAGCAGTCTGCTCTATTCACCAACACAAGTAACGCCAGTCCAAGAACCAAATACAGAATGACCCGCTCTGAATCAGTCCGGTATCACTGCGGCTCAATCAGAGACACACATGGATTTGAGTTTTAAAAAACTGGTGTTAGGGTCATTTCATGTTTTTGGTGGATTAAAACAAATTAAGTCTTTCAGAGTATGAACGCCATCTTGCTATATTCAGATAAATACTTGTGTAACGTTCTTGAAGACAGGAGGAAAACTTCTGCGATCACCGTCTCCTCTCGGTTGCTCCCCACTGCCCCCCCCTGAAAATAATGAGTGACAGGCTGATAGTAACCATAGTAACACGGAAGGGCCCGGAACAGAGGGTTTTCAAAGTCTTGGCTTTCAGACCATTCAAATATTGCTGAATACATATTATAAATAGTGCTTGATCTAAAAAGAAAAAGGTAGTTATTAATAAGGTTATTACTAAAACCAATAATAATCCAATCTAGAGGCAATTATGTAATGTAACTAGGGCTGTCAAGTTAACGCGTTAATAACGGAAACAAAAATTAACGCGATTAACGCATGTGTATTTTTTGTCCTCGGCCGTCCCGTAGTTTCAGCGCATCGAGTTTAAAATACCATCTACAAGCTGATGCTGACAGCCCCGCTCCTGCCGCCCGCTTGTGGCAGACCACACTTCCACGCTCACCGGCAGGCACCGACTGGCTATTGGGAGGACCGGGAGGGTGTGTGTATGTGTGGCCCGAGCGAGCGAGAGAGAGACCTTACGTGCATTGTTGTTGTTAGCATCTGGTGCTAGCTAGCTGCGCTAACGGATATGGAGCTGTTTAAATGAAAACAGAGGAGCGACATTTCGCCACAACTGCGCCGAGCACTTGACTTTATGCAGGAAGCCAGACAGTGGGACATTGTACGAAAAGTCAGCACACTCAGCACGGATAGTGCGCAACATGATTGCAGCGTCCAGGCAGCTCCCGTTCGAGCATATGCCTTGAGTTGCACATAGCTCCAACACACACACACACACACACACACACACACACACACACACACACACACACACACACACACACACACACACACACACACACACACACACACACACACACACACACACACACACACACACACACACCACACACACACACACACACACACACACACACACACACACACACACACACACACACACACACACACACACACACACACACACACACACACACACACACACACACACACACACACACACACACACACACACACACACACACACACACACACACACACACACACACATCACACACACACACACACACACACACACACACACACACACACACACACACACACACACACACACACACACACACACACACACACACACACACACACACACACACACACACACACACACACACACACACACCATTTGTATTGTATTATTGTATGAATATTTGTAATGTTCAGAGTTTGTTGTGTTTAATATTCATGAGAATATTTGTCATTGTTCAAATGATAATAAACATTAGCATAAAGCATATTTGTCCACTCATATGTTGATAAGAGTATTAAAAACTTGAAAAATATTCCTCTAAGGTACATTTAGAACAGACAAAAAATGTGCGATTAATTTGCGATTAATCGTGATTAACTATGGACAATCATGCGATTAATCGCGATTAAATATTTTAATCGACTGACAGCCCTAAATGTAACATCATTTTTTATATTTATATTTATTTTACTGACGCAGGAGAAAGAAGATAAATATACGGCCTGTTTGATCACGTTAGAGCTAGCTGTAGTTAGCCTCTGCATGCTCCAAGCTCAAAATACCTAGCTTTCAAGCAACGATTATGATGATATACAGTATCATTACTGATTCTCAATGTTATTTAGGCTTGTTGTTGTTGATCAGCCACCGAAGTAAGCGTGACATATTTGGTTCTTGGTGGCAATCGAGTGGGGCTAGATATTAGAAAAAAATGTAAGGGCCAAGAGCCGGCCCTGCTGCTGTAGAAACAGGAAGAACCAGGGCACTAGCTCCGAACTGGCCCTGGAACTGCTTTGGGGGGAAAGGGGCATTAGAGGAACTGCCCAGTGGCACCCTCTGATGGGGATAGTGCTTTACTACAACTTGAATCATTTCCGTTTACAAAAACATGTATAAGAGGTGCAGAAATGCATTAAATCAAACAATGTAATGTTCATCCTTTAATTTTACTGGTCATTTTTATTATTTCTGCAGTTATGGGGCAAATTCGTGAATCAAAGATATTTCCTATTGGTCACTCATAACATTATGGTGTTGCTTTGAAGGATCCTATTATATAAGCTACAGTACATAAAACCCACACAAAACCATAGGTGTTGCTTTCAAACCTACACAAAACTTTAAGTAGAGTCCAAATCAACTTTTCATGTTTCAAATGATATGCCTAAGCAGATTGTTTACAAAGCATTACCCATTTACCCAAATGGAAAATAGTAAGGAAATCATTAACTCTCTGCTTAGTTAAAAGTAGGAGATTTATGAGGGCATTTGTTGTGACCTACTGTCAATGTTTGATTACCAACATTTAAAGGTCAACTTACTCTTTGTGAAAGTTTATCACTGGTTTAGCTTAACTGTATAACACTTTATATTTCTGAGTCTTACCTGTGCTGCTCTTCAGCTTGGACTGTGGTGTCCCGGCTTTGGAGGCCTTGAAATCATCCCTCCCCCGGGTTGGCTGCCTCAGCCTGCTGGACAGAGGGGACGGTCTGGGACTGGCAGGTGGAGGTTGTAAAAGTTGTGCTGTTTGTCGAGGAGCTGGTCGTGCTCGAAATGTGCTCTTACTCTCATCAGATGAGGCTCCCGTTGTTGTCACTTCACTGGACTCTAGCTGCAAAAAGAACAATTTCTCATTCAGTCCCTCAGCTTTGTGCAATTGGCCCCAACAGTTTAAAAAAAACATTTTATCTGTTGTTAAAATGCCACTAACTTGCCAGTCATAACATCATCTCTAAATGCAATCCATCTGGATTTGATGTGGCTTACAGTAAAAGATATCAGAACATAAATATGAACAGCACTGTAATGAGAATATGACAATGAGTCAATACTCACCACCAGGCTGATCCTCTTCACCTCTCTTGAGGAGTTTTTAGCAGGTCGGTTTCCCGCCTCAGTCGGAATGGCCTGTTTATTCAGGGAATTGCTGCTCAAGTTCCCTGTTCGGGTCTGGCCCAGGTGGATTTTAACTTTGGGAGTGGTAAAGCTAGCTGAAAACCTTGCAGTTGCACTCTTTTCCCTCGGTGGCCTGGATGACGGTGATAAACTCTCCGATGAGCAGCGAGGACGCGTCTTGGGCACAGAAGACTCTGCCTGACCTACAGCTGAGCCTGATGCGACCTTAATTTGGTCTAACACGCCCTTCTTTGGAATTGGTTTGGGATCAGTTTGGCCACTTCTATCAGGGGATTTTCCTGAGGATGAGAAGCAGAAGGTCTGGTTGCCAGAATGCTCTGCAGTTGCAGTTTCTGTTGCTTGGCATGAGGCTGCCTGTTCTGTTGCAAAGCTGGCATTACTGCATACTTCTGAGGCAGGTTTATTTGCGGATGGGTTTGGGCCAGGTGGGCATGCTCCACTCTGTCCCTGTCCACTAGTAGCAGTAGGGCCAGACGACTGTGGAGCAACTGAATTAGCAGCCCCTGTACTCATTCGTCTCGGAGCATCATTGACCACTTTAGTGGTGGTAGAGACAATTGCAGTGCTACTCCTTAAATTGGTTGGACTAATGCTGTCAGTAGCTCCTCTTTGTGCTTCAGTGTGTTTATTGTTCACGTTAACTTGTGATGGTTTTAGCTGTGAAGAAGAGCCTGACACTGATAACTGATGTACATTTCTTGTAACAATTTTAGATTTTATGCTGCTGAAGTCTGACTTGGGAAACTTCTTGATTTCCATTTTCTTGACCTTTGTGACTACAACCAAATGATTAGGAGCTGCAGAGTTTTGCTGGCGTTTAACAGGGTTGTGTCCTGGGTTTCCTGTGTTCTCAGTAAAGGGAGACACTGAAAAGGAGGGGGGGGCTGGGTATCATGTTCCCAATGCTTTGTACTGGAGTGGAAGTATGGATAACATGATCAGTGTCTTGCATAACCGACGGAGAGTGCACAAAGGTATCGCCTTGTTCTGGTGTGAATGCTGCAGTGAAACGGAGCAATGGCTCTTTTTGGGCACCGACAATCTGAGCTTCTTTTCCGCAATTTGCAGGAGATTTTTCACAGACAAAGGTCTTCAAAAGAGCTCCCTCATTCTCAGCTGGCAGAGCTACAAGAGGGCTGGATGTAGCCATATCATTTTCTTCACTAGGTTGCATATCCTCAGTGAAAGTAAGGCCAAAACACATATGGCCCATGTTTTCCTCGATTACTTTTTCTGAAGATTTTTCAAAGACATCTGGCAGAGTGGTTGACAGCAGGTTAGATTCAGTGGGAAATGTTGAATGGCCGGCAGCCAGAGACATGGATGACTCATCCAGGGAAGAGACAAACAGGGAATGATCCTCTAAGCAAAAACTGTTTGTCCTAATTACCATTTCCCCAGAGCTCAGGGAGCAGAAGTCATTCTCAGGGGACCCTCTACGGGAAGTGTCAACTGAACTCAATCGGCTCCCAACAGAGTCTGGAGACATCACTGCACAGCTACTCCCATCCTCCGTGTTCTCACTGAAAGTGTGGTACTTGTCTGATTCATGGCTGCTCATCAGACTCAAGTTGTCATTCCAGAAATTCACACTGCCATTAACAGGTGTGGCAATAAATGTTTGGTTCAGGTTCAGGCTCACATCACTGAGCAAAGGATCCTTCGGTAAGGTGGTGTTGTACAGGTTATCCAAGGAGGAGGTGTCGCTGAGGCAGCACTCAGGGGAGCTGTTGGCTTCCCGGTCACGGGGGTTTGAAACACTACTGTGGGAGTCCGGTGAAGGCGACAGAGACGAGCTGTAAAGACTCTCTGGAGAGAGGGCCTCTCTGTGGGGTGGAGGAACTGTGCTCGCAACTTGGTCCGTAGACATGCTGAGAGTTGTCTTGGACATTGTGGACACAGGATTTCACCTACTTCTGTAGATGACCTCAAATTCGTTTGGTAGCACTTATTCAGGCATCAATATCTGTAAAGATGGGGAAAAGGTCACATTTTTTAAACATTTATCAACAGAATCTTTGATGACTTTGTAATTTCACTGAATGTTAGCAGAAGCACTCAATACTAAGCTAAAGCACAGATATTCCAATATAATATCTATCTCGGGCTCCATAAAGGCTAAGGCATGCCTTGGTAAGCCTTTGGTCATTGTAACAGTATCTGGACACTTTAAATATGTATGACTTGGCTCAATGAAAAATGCAAAAGCCATCATGATAATGCTCAAGGGAAAACATTTTGCAAGTCTGTACAAATGATTTCCTACTTGGGCTATGCGATACACAATGTGATTACATTAAGATTGTTGAATATCAGGGTTCTTATGTTTTGCCAGACACTGCTGCTGTCTCTCATGGACCTTGGTTTCATAAAAGCCTAAATGTGAGTCTTGCCAAGCAGTAACAAGACATGTTTCTACTTGTAAAATGAGCCGTTTGGCATGAGAAATATACCGCAGAGTCTTAACCGCTTTGTTGTGTACCGTTGTGTTTATTTAAGCTGACTGGACTGCTAAGCTTGCCAGGCACTACTACAACAAAAGCACCATTGTGGTATGTACCACAGGAGAGTAAGATATCAAGTCACCAACAGCCCGAAAGTGTTCCAGTATGCAGATCCCAGACATCCTGGTGCATATAAGAAAACCCAACAATTGAGAAACAGAAAAACAGAATAATAAATAACCTAGAGTCTGCTGTACTTCTGTCACGTTTAAAGGGACAGTATACTGGTTAAGGAAGGAAGGAAGGGTGGAGGCTAAGAAGGTTCTGGCTGTCATATTCTAATGCTAAAATACTACATATCTAATGAAAACAAGAGGTAAGTGCATATTGTAAAGCATGTTGTTAACCTCTTCTTTTTTTATTCTTGAGTTGCATCCTGCTTGCTGTTGGCAGGTGTGTGTGTAATACTGCTAGGATAGCAATATATTTTATTGCAATATATTGCAGCAAAACGTCTGTGTCAAAATAAGCCATTTCTTTCCCTATGTACCCACGGTACATATGTACCCACTGTACATAGGGAAAGAAATGGCTTATTTTGACACCCAGACGAACACAAGGCTCTACCTAAAGTGTTAGAGTCATAGACACCTGTAGATGCCTGACATGACAACACAGTTAATTGTAGGTCTGGGGTACACAACAATGTAATTACAGACAGTTTTTTATCAGGGCCAAAATATCCACCTTTACAATACAAACCAAGTTTTGCTAGCACATTGACTCAATAAGAATTTTGAGTATAACCTACAAATGACACATTCAGCAAGTCTCAAAACGAATGGATTGATAAGTCTCTTTATATGAAAGTGTCAAACACAATGCTATATACAAATCTGGACCCTACCGTTGAACATACACACTTCAAAATGTTAAATCATTAAAAAAATGTTGGACCTAAGAGCAATGTTCAGTCTGTAAAGATAACATTATAAATGAAGTCTATTCTATTGCAAGTGATTTTAAAGACTTGTTAATGTTAATATGCTTCAATCATTAGGTGTTCGTATTTAAATGGATTACGTTTCGACCATCCTGCTGATAAGATACTTTATCAAAAGCAGCTCTGCTATTATCAACATGACCCAAAGTCCAAATCTGGATGAATCATGTTGGTTTAACAGGCAGAGAAAAAAAAACAGCGTACACTGCATTGACCTTCTGTACAATCGAATGAAATATACTGCCTTGGCAAACCTTTGTGCACATTGAACCTTGGCAGGAGCTGCCTCTCCAATACCACTGCAGTATCTTCCCACACACAATATAACAGAACAGGGATGTTTCTGGTTTAAATCGTGACTACTAGGCATTATGTAAAGTACAACTGCGACAAACCACGACCAGGCAGACAATGTAAAAACAATGACACTTCGAAGACACTGAGCCAACAAATAGAAAGAAACACTGCCTGTAAAAATATTCAAAAGTGCTTACCTCTGACTTAAGAAGGATCAACTACATTATGAACCAACTAAAATACTGCCACTCTCTCCATTCACTGATAACAGAAGAAGAGAAAATGCATCCACTATCAGCTGCCTGCCATATCACGTCAGATCACGTTGTCGCAGGTTCAGCCAGCTCATTTTACCGTCTCAGAGGCAATCCCATTACTGCTGTCCCTCCAAAGCACTAAATCCAGCCAACTGGGCAGGCAGTGGTGTGCGAGTGAGAGAGCTTCAGCCAGCGGCCCCCGTCCCACCACTCCTCCCTCCTCGTGTTCAGCCGTGCATCAGTAACATCACAGCCTGAATGAGGGTGCCCCCTGTGCAGGCATTAGGTTGTTTCTTTCCCTCGTGACTTTACTCCGGGCCCAGTGCAGCAATCTCTCTGGCCAGGCACTGTGTCAGACAGTATCAGAGAGTTGGCTGCACATTGCTCCACAGTGCAGGCATGTCAAGGTCCGGCTAAAGACTGAGCTCAGTGTAAGCTCCACTCCAGAGTTTACAGGAGAGTGAGCAAGGAGGAAAGCTACATGTTACCTTATCCATGCCGAGACCAGTGCAGGAGGAGTGGCCTTGGCCTGCCAGGCTGAGTTGGCATTCACTGTTGCTAAGCAGCAAAAGTCTCTCTTTTATGAGGGAATGTATCAGGCTGCTTTTTAGTAAGGGATGAGTGAAAAGGGGAGCAGAATGACGGGAGGCCTGGTTTCCTGGAGGAATGTCGCCCTATGACAATTCCCAACCAGGATTTGAATCGCTTATTCAGAGACACTTTCCACAAATGTTGGTTACTGTAAGGCAGATTAGTTATTCAGAGTTCTACAATGATAATGTCACTGTCTGATGACATTCCCTCTTGTTGTAGACAAACAGCTCGACATCTGATCCCAACACTACAGCAGTGGTGCGACACCAGCATCTAAGGCCCCCTAAGACCTATGCTATTTCTGCCTAATCTATACAAGGCCTCTGACCCTGGGAACTGCAGTCTAATCTTAACCAGAGACGAGATGTAAATCATGGTATAGAGCGGGCTTATTATGTCCCCTGAAAATAAGTCCTGTAAAATCTGTTATTAGGAGAGTCTAGTTATGTATTCTAAGCTTTTTGACATTGACATCTTTGGTTGACATGCAGAACTAATGTCCATTTTCCACTTTAAGATGGGTATGTTGCCAACTAAATAGTGTATTGTAAACTAGGAATGTATCCATGCAACATATATTTAAAACCAGTAGGGTGACCCTCTGACACTCACAGTAAACTCCCAACTACTGTGGGCTCTAATGGATCATAGAAGAGCACTCTGCCTTGTCAAAAAACACAAATGGGTAATTAAGTGACTGTGTCAAATTAATTATCAAAATTGCCTTATGGGGTGTAAATCACAAGTTTCTCGATACAATTATTTATCGATCTTTTGGCCAACGAGGCAGTCTTTGCTGATAAAGATATAGTCTTTCACTATCATACTTTTGTTATTCGTATACATTTTAGCACCCTGCGACAGATGAAACAATATGATATACCCATTGACACACATCGATTATATTTATATCAAGTCACAAAAATAAATAATGTATTACCACACTTCCTGACATTTAAATAACCTAGATGTGCTATAGGAATTTCAAAATAAATGTGTATATTAAGGATTGATATTAACCTATTAAGTACAATGTGTTGGAGAACTAGCTATAGTGTTACATAGTGATGTCATTATGTTACGCAACAAAGGAGTCGAATCGAGGCATTTCAGGCAGGGTTATGGGAGAGAAACTCCCTCTGGCCTGAACTTTGGGATTTTAGCCTTTGCAGACCATTAACATTCACAAACTCCTATTCCACACTTCAGGGAAGGGCTTTTTAGTCGATACATGGATCCATATCAAACAGGAATCCATATCATTGTATCGTAACACCTCTATTTGATATTGGGCACCCAACTAAGTTTCTCTTTGAGATAAATCCAATGCAAATCCACTAAGTGAGATCAACAGAACAATGCTTCCCTATTTCTGAACCCCTCAGGCATTGTGCAGCGAGCTCAATTGGTCTTTCCTTGCCTTGGCTTGGCTGACAGGACATATCAATATCATACAAGGAGCAGTTATGAGTAGCAGAGACAGCGCTGCACAACACTAGCGCAGGGCAGCGGATCAAGCCGGGAGATTCCAGCAGCATACCACAGGGACAACGCTGTCCTCTGTACCAAAACCAAACCAATGAGCTGCCATAGAAGAACAGCATGGCACTGTCTTTCAAAAGTCAGAATATCAGCCGGTCTGCTCCAGAAACAAGAAGTAGAAAAAGGCTTTCAAGACAAAGCTGTGGGTCTATGCCATCTAGTGAAAAACAGAGGCACGTCACATCTGTCAGCAGCTGTCCTAACGGATCTTGGTTAGCCTAAACAGATGAATACACATGACATTTGCAGGGGGTGGAAAATGAAAAATAAACAATAAGAAGAAACATTAGACTGGACCTTCGTTAGTATGTTTTTTTGACAGGCTGAAGGTCAAGATTGAACACTCAAGCTATGTTGGGTATACACTATACCAGGGGTCGGCAACAGGCGGACCACGGTCCGGATCCAGACCCGGACCTATAATCAATACATTAATTGGGGTTTTCAATTTTGACGGGGCGATTCTATTTTAACCGCCGCCGACAGGGGGCGAAAGAGACGAGTGAGCAATACAGGGAGAGAAACACAGAAGAAGAGATGAGAGCGCGGCGGAGAGAAGCGGAGAGGAAAGTGAGTGAAGAGAATAATTAGCGATACAGGGAGAGAAGACGGAGAGGAGAGTGAACAGGCGTGTTAGCGGCAAACAGGGAGAGACAAATAATGACACATGGCGCTCTCCAAGAAGAGGAAAGTGGACAGTGAGAACAGAGCTTTTAAACCTGAGTGGACTCATTCATGTTCATCCTGCCCACTGGGAGCACAGAGCCAGTGTGTCTCATTCAGAGACCGTGGCGCTCATTAAAAGTGCCAAAACGCCACTATGAGACAAAACACAAAGTGTTTGACCAAACATTCCCTCTCAAGTCAGAACTGAGGTCAGATAAGCAGTCTCAGAGCCCAATATGATCAGTCCACCAGGATCTAAATTAAAACTAAATAGCGTCCCAGGGCAGGCTAACCGGGGCTGACCAATGAGCACCTGCATGTGTGTATGAGAATGGCCTTGACACAATTTCAGCCCAGATTTACAAACTCCTAGCAGGACAAGCTCGAGCTCAATTCTCGCACGGAACAAAACAAAGTGAGTGAGGGACTGCAATATAAGAGGGACAGAAAGAGAAACTTTAAAACTGTTCCATTGTTATGATGTAAAGACTGATATTGTTCTATAATCGTCTGAAACTGTTAAGTCATGATGTGAAACGGTTAACAAAGAAAAAGGGAAACTCAAGCTGCTGCTACACTTTATTTTATTTATCTAAGATGCACATATTTTCAAAAGCTATTTTATTTATTTTCTCTATTTTATTTTTAAATGCAGCCCGAGAGGAACATTACATAGATCCACAGTATGTTACTGTATATCTGTATAGTTCAATGTTAATTGACAATACATATTGTTGTTTTTGAATTGTACTTTCTTTATTTGATTGGCAGTCAGTTGTTGATTACATGCAGACATTGATAAAGCTACAGGCTACTTCAATATATATCACACTAATTCATAAAGCAAGTTAGACATTTTGATGTTCCGGACCTTTGCGGGGACATTTTCTCTTACTGGACCTCGTACTTAAAACTATACACGGGCGTCGCAGCCATTATATCAGGGTGGGACAAGTCCCCCCCACTTTTTGAAATGATTAGTTTAGACCCCCCCACTTTTACCATGTGGAAAGTCCGTGAATCGGTCTCTCCACTCGCCGCACTTTGTAGAGCGCTGAGTCAGTACTTCACTATCAAATCCATTCCACTTGCTTATTGAGAGAATGCCCAAATCAATGAAACTCTGTACCATGTTTTCACTGCTACTTTGTACCCATAGCGCGCGCATGTTCAAGGAGTGTTGTTATAGTTGGACAGCTCAGATCTGTTATATGAAGCGATGCCGGTAAAAGAGGTAAGGCACACACACCAAGTGTTCAGGAAATGGTTAATACAGCGAAAATCAAAGCTGACGATCTCTTGGTTTGATGTGTTTTCTCCCCCAGACAACATGGATATAAGAACATTGTTTTCGAAGAAGAGGAAAGTAAGTAATGAGCTGGTAGCAGTTAATCAGTTAACAGTGATGGCGGCAAAAGCGTCTCACTTCTGGAGAGGAGTTTCGTCTTTATGTCATGATAGAGAGATACAAATACTGAATAGTTTAGTTGAGAAAAGGCATCGAAATGCCAGGTTACTAGTATTTATCATGTAAACAGGGAACATGAATAACCCGATCTCTCTGTGCTCATGTAAACACCATGATGTACTGTAGAGGCGCAGTCAGTGTGTTTTACTGGAGCCTCAGTTCGATGAGATTATTTTCTGAGTTCTTTAAGGTACTCTCTCTCAAAATGGTAATGTGCATTATGTTTTAATTATACTTCTTATCATTCAGAAGCTTTTTGTGTGTGTTTATGTTTTACTGAGTGCTTATAGGCCATTTCCATCCCAGTATTCAGTTAACTATTTATTTTCTGTGCACATTACATAGACAGCTAATATTCTACTGCTTGGGACTTTGAGTCTTCAAAATGTCCAATGTCACAGACTGGGACTTACTTTAGAGTCAGTTGTATTTACATTCAGTATGACTTGTTATGATTCAATGTGAAAGAGTATACTGCTCAATAAATAATGATCACTTCACCACCTCAGAGTCAGAACACAGGGACAGTGGAGAGAGGTCCATTGCTGAGGTGAGTGATGAAAGGGAAATGACAGTTTAGAGTACATTGTGATGTGGACTCTCATCCCAGAATGTTAAGGAAATCAGTGGGGATATTGAACAGGAAACATTTCAGTCAAGGGGCATCATGTGACCAATATAGACAGAAGAGCAACATTTATTTGAACATTTAAGTCAATGATACCATTCCTAGGTGAACTTAACATCCGTATGGAGTCAGATCAGTCTCAATATTAATAAATGCTCACAGAAGGATTCACAAATGTATTTTGCGATTTATATATAAATTACTCTCCACAACAATATCTCTCAATGCACTCACAAATATGTATTGTTGTATATAAATGTACCAAAAAAATGGGCATTTAAACTGCTTTTTATTAATTCAAAGACGGCTCTGAATTAATAATCAAATATGTTTCCTTTCTTTACTACTGGATGAAATTACAAAATGTACCTATCATTTTCCTCATGCTAGTATAGCCACATAAAGGTATCACACCACCTGTTAAAATGCACCAGAATACAGGAAATCTATTTCCTTTTTTTTCGTGGGGGGGGGAACCCCAAACCCCCCCGTTAAAAATGTCCCCCCCACATTCAGGATGCTTCCTACGCCCATGAAACTATATATTTGCATTAATTATCTGGCTTAATTTTTGGGTGTATGAATGTCAAAAAGGAATAATGTCCATTACGTCTGGTTAGGGTCATGTCTTTGTTTAAAAATATTTAGCATTTTCAGCTCATGAAAGTATAGTAAACCATATTAGCATTTTGGTTGGCTAAAAAAATATTTTTGTGCATATCATTTGACTTTTCTTCTCCAAGTCCAATACAATGTCTTAAATGTCTGAATTTGTCAGTCCAAAACACAAAACATGATCAGTTATTTGGGATAAAAAAAACGAGAGAAAAGTTTGCAGTTGTTTTACTGTGAATGGACTATTCAAATAGTGTTCTTATCTCTCAGCTGAAAGGTACCATGCACTGCTGAATAACAGAAATCCAAGATATCATATTCTAATCAACGTGCAAGGCTGTATTTAAAGCCACAATTACATAGATAGATGATTCTTGTTTTGGTTTGAATCACCTCAACTTTCTTAGTTTCTGTAACACATGCGGTCAATGGTGCAACATGTTCAAAACAACTGACCCCCCTGCACATGATTGACTCCCCTCCTCAGGACAGTAAACATACAAATAGCAAGGAAAATACTCTTTAAAGTCCATACATTGATTAAAACACGGTATCCAATAAGCCTGAGAGACACTTTAAAAGATTAGTGGATAAACTATTATTAATTAAAATTCCACGGGAGTAGAGGTAGTCGTAGTAAATGGATAAATAAAGTTTAAAAAGGCGGACTAACAATGACTACATGAAATTCAACAGTTAAACAACTAAAATGGAGCGTTGTAACGGTTGACAAAAAAACCTTGAATTAGCTAGCTTAATGTTAGCATGCTAGCTATCAAACAGTCGACCACAGTGCGTGGGTTCATTTAAGTTGACAGGAGGTTGAACTTTTGGTACTTACAAGTAGTTACACAACTAAAGTCGCTCACACATGTGGGGGAAAGACACATAAAGAACTACCGTAATACTTCCCCAACAATTTAGACATACAGTGGTCCGTTAAGTTAATACAAATATCCACACTGCACCTGACTGATGGCTTGAGCTTGAAACGTTACCTGTCACGGAAACGAGCAGCGACGACGGTAGCGCGCCGGTGACGATGTCTTAATTACTTTCAGGTGGTCGCCTTCTCTTTCTCCGAGAAACCGGAAAAAAATGAAACTGAAAAAAACGTTATATTGTCATTCAAAACTGCTGTCAGAGTATATAATAGTTCATATTATTCCGCAGAAGTGAAGAACAAGTGTTTTTCAGTGTTGGGAAGTAACAAAGTAGGCTACTTTTACTCAAGTAGGCCTACTGTACAATGTTTTTATTTTTCGCCTATTTACCTCGTTAACGTAAATAATACTCATTACATTAACACATGCATTATTTGTGATTAAAATAATTGTTGTTGGTAATGTATTAGCGACCCCCACAGATGTATGATTTCACTGCTTTCATGGGAGCTCAGCTCAGACCCCTCCTTATGGGAGCTCAGCTCCCATTGGCTCCCACATAACTCGAACCCTGCTTGTAGGCCTACCTAACGTGAGTATTTCCCGGTATTTCCATGTAATGCTGCTTTATTCTTTTACTTCACTACATTTAAAAGTGAAATAATGCAGTTTTACGCCACTATATTGAGTAATTTGTGTATAATTTATTAAGCTCTAATGACTTTTCAGATTTGCATTAAAACGTTGTTTGTCTACAACAGTACAATGCTGCTTGATGCAACAATATTAATAATCTAACCATTTCATATTATATCACATATGGAGGCCATTTTTCTGCAAAATTAGTACTACTTTTTAGACTTATAGCACATTTTCTTCGATAATACTTCTCTATTTATCTTAATAATGTAGGACTTTTACTTGTAATGGAGTAATTGGGCATTAATGTATTGCTACCTTTACTTAGGTAAATAATCTGAATACTTTTTCCACCACTGACAATAATAAAGTCATGTTATATACATGATTTTGAAATGGGCTTATAGGCATAACAAGTACTTTTACTTTTGTAAAATGAAGTATAATTTCATGCTGATACTTTTGTAGTTTTACTTAAGTGACATTTTGAATGCAGCAGTTTTACATGAAACAGAGTAATTTAACAATTTAGTATTGCTATTTTTACTTAAGTAAGACATCTTACTTCTTCCACATCTGGTGTTATTTGCCTGTACTTCCACACACTGTGTGAGTTGGTGTCATCCCTTACAACTAGGTCGCTAAAAGTTGAAATCACATGCTGAAATAATAATTGCTTTTTCAGTTCAGCTAGATGTCGAATGTTGAATGAAATATTTTGTTGGTTTTTATTCTGAAGAGATCAACCACTTGATGCCATCAGATTTTATTATTTCAAATTTAGATTTACGATAATTAAATGATTATTTACCATTATGATACTAGGAAGCAAATGTATGAACAATGTAACAGGTGCATTTTGCTAACAGAAAGAACATGTGGGCACACTGAAACAAATCCTAGCAGAGGAAAAAGGTGAAGGTGGGAGAGAGTTCCTAAAAAAAAGAGTTGCTATAAAAGAACCATTACATCTTCTGAGTCAGTAATATCAATCAAATGTACAATATTTATTCATATGATCTTATCTGGTATTTTACAACAGCCATTTTTAGAATCTACTACTGTGCTTGGCAATAAAACATAAAGGTTATCATAAAAAATAATCTGTGTTACTAAGCAAAAAGGGTCACTATCAACATTGTTCATTAGACATTTGCCACTTGAGACATATTACATACTGCATTGGTTTTGTCACAAATAAGTTTTCCGTTATACAACAGAGGACCAGACACTGTTTTTTGGGATTTCCTCTTGATGGATCTGCAACATGCTACCTGTAGTTGCGCGTCAGGTATTTTTCAGTTGATGTCAAAGGAAAAGCAGGACAAAGGAAAAGCAGGACAAAAACAAAGCAATCTGCTATCTTAGTGGCTCAGTACGGTATCAGTCCGAATGGATTAAATACATAGATTGATGCAGGACAGTATCACAAACTGATACATCAGGCCATTAAGTGCATGAGACAGGATGAATGTACCAAGACAGGATTATTGTTCCACATCAGTGTCAGGCCACATGGCTTCTGTCATTAGTGTGGGTATGAGGTGGGACTCCTCGTCCAGAAGGCAAGTCAATGTGCACGCTATCAAGGAAAGGGGGAGGGAAGGAGGCCTGGAGGAGGAGCAGCATGTGTCTTCTGGGGATGTTGAAGCTAGAAGAGTAGAGGAAGGCAGGTTTTTTTTCCTTTTGTGTCCACTGGTAGGCAGAGGTGATCAGGCGCTTCTACTCCACTTCCTTTTTTTAATTTTCTCTCATTTTTTCACACAGGAGGGCCAGCTGAGGCCTCCACATGAAGCAGAAACGATGATGTAAAGGACCACCTAAAACGAAAACGGCACAGAAACTAAGTTTACTTCCTGTTTGATTAATCATGCAGTGAGCCATACAGTTGCAGCACACCAGAGGAATACATTTAGTGAATGTCAACCTCAGCTCCCAACAGTGTGTGACTAAAATAAAGAAACTCAGCCAATAAAGGACAAAATGTCTTCTCTGAAACCCATTAAAACCACTATTTCGATCCGAAAGCCATTACACATAAAACCATGCATTGTAATATAACAGGACTTTAAATATATAGAGCCCTAGTTTTAAATATTACCTTTTAATAATAACAGTATATTTCACACTATTTTCCTGGTTTGCTAAACACACAAAAATGCAAATAAATGAATGTGGCAGTGGTGATCAGGACGGCAGTTGGTTAAAAGCTCCAACTCAGGGAAATAGGAAAATAATATCAATAATATATATATAATAGTGTTTTTTTTTGTCCATACTGTGACTAAGGTAACTTCGTCACTGTGAACTGACGGCTTCGGGCATTTTTATACAATTTATTGATGTAGTGTTTATTGTATTTTATTTTGAAATGTGTTCCCCTTTCCCCATGTCTGTTGCCGTTGATTGTGTGCACCTGGTGCCCTGTGTTGTCTCCTCCCCCCTCACCTGTGTCCTGTTGGGTTGATTGGGTTGTGCATTTAGGCTCTGGGGTTTTTCTGTTTGAGAGAGTGTGTGTGAGATCCTGGTGGTGGCTGGTGACTGTGTTCACGCGTGGGCAGCAGATTGATGCTGTGTCATGTTTATGACGCAATAAATGCCCACACCGGGTTGTATTTTGGACGTTCTGCCTCCTTACTTGGTCTGGGCCGCTCAATTGTTAGCTTCACAATTGGTGTCAGAAGTGGGATTGACCAAGTGAGGAGGTGGAGGTGGTGAACAGCTACAAGTTCCTGGGAGTGCACTTAAACCATAAACTGGACTGGTCAGACAACACCGATGCTCTCTTCAGGAAGGGACAGAGCAAGCTGTTCTTCATGAGGAGGCTCAGGTCATTCAACGTGTGCACGAGGCTGCTGCAGATGTTCTACCAGTCTGTGGTGGCCAGTGTGCTCTTCTTTGCCGTGGTGTGCTGGGGTGGAAACACAAACACTAGGGACACTGGCAGGCTGAACAAGCTTGTGAGGAAGGCTAGCTCTGTAGTGGGAGTACAACTGGACAATCTGGAGGAGGTGGCAGAGGGGAGGACGAGAAGGAAGCTCGACAGCATCCTAGAGAACCCCTGCCACCCACTCCATGCAGAGCTAGTGAAGATGAGGAGCACGTTCAGCCACAGACTCATCCCTCCACAACAACGCACCAAGCGCCTCGGACAGTCCTTTGTGCCTGTAGCCATCAGGCTGCACAATAAGGGGTTAAATATGAAAAAGAAATTAAATGAAATCACTGGTCATAAATATACACTGTTTCCACAACCCATGCTAACTTGTCACTTTAACTTATTCCGTACTTTATAACTTAGATGATGACCAAATATGTATATATGCTGACAGTTATTTTATTCTTATTTTTATTCATCTCCTATTTTCATAGTCTTTTATTATTATTATCATTATTTCCTTGATTTTATGTTATTTATTATTTATTTTAGATTTTATTGATCTGTGTGAATCTTTGCTGTACTGTTTTTTTTCACGCTTACCCTGTTGCTGCTTTGTACAACTGAATTTCCCCTCGGGGATTAATAAAGGTTCATCTTATCTTATCTTATCTTAAAATGATGGAGGGGAATAACCGCAAGTTTGAGGAACTAACGGAGATGATGATGTTAATCATGCAGTCTCAGACAGCCGGAGAGCAGCAGTTTTTACGGATACAACAACAGGTATCTGAGATAGAAGAGGAACAGAGACCCCGGAGGCAAGACGGCAGGTTGGCTGAAGAGCTCGGCCGCATCAACGTCCGGTATGGGGACCAGGCCCAAAGAGGGGAAAAGGTGATGCAACAGATTCAAGAGTACCGTATGGAGCTCCAGGAGCAGGACCGTAGAAACCAACAGAAGGAGGAGGTGGAGCAGATCATGGAGCGTCAGCTGCTGGAGGAGCTGGAGAGACAGAGACAGGCAGAGCTCACGGCCCAGAAGGCCAGAAAGAAGGAGCTGATCAAAACCCTGGAGGAGAATAACCGCCAGATGAAGAGGGAACTTGAGCGAGCGGCCGCTGAGAAGCTGGAGAAGGTCAACAGGAGCCTACAGCGTCACCTGCAGCGCAGCGCGGAGGAGAAGGAGGAGCGCGAGAGGGAGCTCCTCAGCATGAAGAAGCAGATAGCCACTCTGATGCAGCGGCTCCGGGCGGACCCCGCTCAGCTGGAGAGGTTGCCATGCTCTCTGTGAAGAACGGAGGGATACAGGACCTCAGGAGGAAATCTCTGTCAGAGCGTCAGAGTTTTGGAACTGGAGAGGAAGCTCTACTCAACTGAACGGCTGCTCAAACAGACTCAGAGTGACAAGATCAAACTGCAGATCAGAGTAGGGGAGCTGCAACACAAGTATGAGCCCAAAGAAGCAAAAAAGGATCGGATCCCGAAGAGGAAGAAAGTGAAGCTTCCTTTCGACATCACGGCACCCTGAGGAAACCACGCTACACAAGGGGCCGCAGGTTGTTGCCGTGGGGATAGACATCACCAAGATAACGAATTCAGACGCTGAAGCAGCTAATACAGCGGAGACAGAGAAGCTCCCGGTTGAGGAGCTGGTCAGGAAGGGGTACGATGAGGATCCGGTGCAGAGGCAGCTGAGGCTGGAGAAGGTCAGAGCCACTCCGCAGCACATAGAGGAGTCCAGGAAACACCGGGCGGAGTGGAGACCCATGGAGGAAAGAAAAATGGCCAAGGCCAGAGAGAGATGCAACCATGCGCATCGCGCGGTGGTCCGGTGCCTTGCAGCCGTACAACTTTGCGGTTAAGTACCGGCCAGGGAAGTCAAACCGGGTGGCTGACTGGTTGTCCCGAAGTTAAGACACTGTGCTTCCTGGGGAGAGGGGTAAGGAAATGTGACTCAGGTAACTTCGTCACTGTGAACTGACGGCTTCGGGCATTTTTATACAATTTATACTATTTATTGATGTAGTGTTTATTGTATTTTATTTTGAAATGTGTTCCCCTTTCCCCATGTCTGTTGCCGTTGATTGTGTGCACCTGGTGCCCTGTGTTGTCTCCTCCCCCCTCACCTGTGTCCTGTTGGGTTGATTGGGTTGTGCATTTAGGCTCTGGGGTTTTTCTGTTTGAGAGTGTGTGTGAGATCCTGGTGGTGACTGGTGACTGTGTTCACGCGTGGGCATCAGATTGATGCTGTGTCATGTTTATGACGTAATAAATGCCCACACCGGGTTGTATTTTGGACATTCTGCCTCTGCCTCCTTGCTTGGTCTGGGCCGCTCAATTGTCAGCTTCACACATACTCACCAGGCACACTAGAACAATGACAATAGTCAGCTTCAGGTTCTTCATACACATGGCTCGGGCCAGGTTACGACTTGTGGTCTTAAATGTGACCGACTAAACAAAGTATGGAAAGAGAGTAACATCAGTTACAGTTTGTTTAGACTACTGTCAAAAGAAAGTATCATGCACATTAAGACAAGTAGGATAAACATTTAAACTCACTGAATCCACCAGATTTTCTGTCTTGTCAATCAGCAGCTCCAGCTTCTCTCCTCTCTGAGCCACCAGGTCTGCAAAAAGAGAGCCACAGTTCACTTGAGAGACACAAAGGGCCCAATGTGTTGAGAATCATGTCAAATTGTCAGTGAAATCTGACATTTGAGACTTTTTTTTTTTTTTTTTAAATATTGCGTAATTCTGTGGCCAGAACATTTGCTAATAGCAACAAATACAAATGCTGTACTGACAATGAGGAGGTCCATGGTACAACCACAACACACTGCATTCTTTTAAAAATAAATAAAGATTGCACAAGTGATGTATTAGTGTCTGGTTTAGTGCACCAAGTTCCACTGGCGGATTGGGGATGGGATTATGGGATGGGGGAATTTAGTTTTCAAGTTAAATACTCATATACCTAATTGTATAAGTCTAAATATGTTTCTATTTTCACAAGGTATTTGTTTATATGTATATTAATACATTTTATTGTATTTTAATTGTTTTACTTTAATTTAGCTTTAACTTTAACTAATGTATTCCTGCTGTTTTTGTATTTTGAGTCATTATTTGTTAATTTTGTTTGAAAAATAAATCTGTAAAACATTTTGGACTGTTTTTTTGTTGGAGGAAATCATGAAGAAAAGGAAAAAGTAAGGACAAGCCCCTCACACATAAGGTTTTCCTGAACCAAATAAATGGACATCTCGTTCAATTATTTTCTTGTAGCTTAATGTCAAAAATGGGCTGTTTGCGTCATAAGGAGAAACCCATGAGGAGCTCACCTATGTTGCGGACCATGATGCCCTTCAGGTCGTCCACCTGCATCTGAGTCTCAGTGACACGATTTGTTCCTTGTGGGTCGGAGTGGTGTTTCTGCAGAAAGGAAGGTACGAGATATTTAGGGAAATGGTGATTTCTAGATCTGTACATGTGTTATTTTATTTATAGACTACAGAAGTGAAAATCAGCCTCTCCAAATGTTCAGGTTCTTTTAATACTTACCATCTGGGCTGCCAGTGTGGAGGAGAACTCGCTATTCATGGCATACGGCAGCGCTGTTTGCGCTCGCGACCCGTATGTCGTTTGGAAACGCTTCTTAACTTCGCTGAGGAAGCTGAACGCACGCGACCTCTCAAAGTCCTTCAGCACAAAAAAAGTTAAACAGTTTTTAACACTCCTGTCAAAAATGCCTTTAAATTGTAACTTCACTGCTATGCTTCCTGTGTCTTATTTTACATGTTCTTTAGGGCTGCAGCATTAATGAAAAAATGTTCATGCTTATTTTTTAAATATTCTTCAATCATGTGAATGAATTATTAATATTAGCCAAATAATTGCAAATAGTTGTTTTTTGTGTATTTAACTTATTGCTGCATTTTACTTGCACAATGATGTCTCTTATTATGCTATTTTGAACCTATTTATCTTATTTTCAGTCTTGTACTGTAGGTTGCATTGTTGTGCATGACAATAAATTATTTTTATTTTTTAAAAGGCTCAATACAATTCTTCTAAAACACAGGTTGGAGATTTTTTTACTGATTAAGTGACTACCTTATTTAACTATCTTTTTGTATTCAGCTAATAACATAAAGTGCATTTCAAGGGACTGCTATCACTCAACCCCAAATTCAACCCTAAAGAAATAAATACACAGATTTCAGAGATAATTATATACTTACATCATCAGTGATACACAGGTATATGATTCTGTCATGGCAGATGTAATGAAAGAGATAGCTAAAAAGGAAAAAAAGACAGAATTACAGATATTAGTTAAAAGTTTAATTTAGTATACTATGGGCACAGTAAAAAAGTATTAGAAACATTCACCACAGATCAACTGTAGTGAATGGACTGTCTGTAACTCTAAATGACTTTAAGACTTTTATAATGCTCAAATTGTGTTGTGACTTTGTGGCATGTGATTTCACTGTATTGTTTCAGGTACTAGTCTGTGTCGCTCTCTGTAGGCTGTGAGCTTCCAGTAGAGCTTGTCACATGTGCTTATATAAGACATTCCACACTTAGGATACAAATAACCACATGATTGATACTTTAGCCAAATGATGTAATCATGTAGGCAATCAAAGCCAAAGGATAATAACTGGCTTCTCATGTTATAATCAAATATAGATGTATGTTATGTTTCAATGTTTCTGAACATGTGTCATTTACTTTTCCATTTTGACTGTCATGCTGCTGAAACATGTCAATTTGGGGGATTTGAGTAATCAATACAGTTCTATTCTTATCTTTTCTCTTGATTATTCTCCACTCTATCATCATCCTGTAGTTGTCTGGCCCTAGGCTCTGGAACACTATACCTCTCCATGTGAGGTCGGCCCAGACCCTAGGGGTTTTTAAATCTACACTAAAGAAGACTCACTTCTTCTCCCTGGCCTTCTAGCCAGAGCGGAGCACGACTCATGACATTTCCCTGTGTTTGATTTTTGTATTTGCTGTTGTAATTTATTGTCTTTTCTTGGCGATTGTAGTAATGTGTTATTTATTATTTGCATGTACAGCACTTTGGCTCGACCAAAAATCGTTTTTAAAATGTGCTATATTAATAAAACCTGATTTGATTTGATAAAAGCAAAAAGTGTCGCAAGGATTTGAATGTGCATGAAAATGACCCTAAGTGACAAAAGTAACATCATGCTGGAGAATAAATGTCGGATCATATCTTTCTTCTTCAATCTTCTTTTATCCATCTTAAATTGATCATAATTAAATTGAAATACCCGAATGCCTTCCAAATGGTGGTTTTGAAGTGAACTTGGATAACCCAAAACCAGAAGATGTTGAGTTGAATAGGGTGTAGAACAGGGCAAAGCAGGAAATATGCATGTTCTACAATGTGTGCATGCTTGATTGAATGATTACTCAATTATGAAAAAAGCAGGTCATCTTTTTTTCTGTCAACCCACTAAATGATTAGTGAACTTATCATTGCAACATTAATGTCATGTCATTCCGTATAGGACAGTATGACAATCTTACCAAACTGCATGATAGTACAGAAGAATGACCCTAACACGTCTGCACACATATCATCATTTCTTTCCTTCCTGGATTGCAACAAGTTTAGCCTGTTTCTGTGTGCCACGTCTACATTTACAATTGTAGAATTACTTGTCAATCAGATAAAGGTATTTCAAGCAGTACTCTGTAATGGTTGGCCAGTGTTTTTAACTCATAGTGCACTTTCTATGTACATATATACTGATCAAGACATCAGCATTTGTACATACTAATAACTAAGTTATGAACCCTTCTGAACTGGCAGACCCATGTAGCCACAGCATATACATATGGTGTTGGAGACCAGCATATATATATATATATATATATATATATATATATATATATATGGTGTTGGAGCGTGTAATGGAGGGTGCATGTGTGGGTTACTCCTACCTTCCGTGGCTGTAGGTCAGTTTGTTATTCTCTGATGGGATTTTGGCTAATATCTGTTCAGTCACTTCCAGGAAGTTGCCACCACACCATGCATTCTTTGCCAGGATGGTGGTTCCACGAGCCACCACAGCAAACAGGATTGCCATGGCAACAGCTGGCGTTTCAGCTATTTCCTTCGCTAACAAAAAAAAACAAGAAGAAAAAGAGTGAGATGTCACTGGCAGGATGGTGAAATAAATTGATTGCTCAACAGAGGAGAGCCCTGGTGAAACAGGGCAAGGGTAACGTTACAGAGAATGCACAAACAAAGCAATTAAAGTATGTGTGAGAAAGATTGTAACTACTGAATTATCTAGCTTGACTAGTTACATGATACAGTTGTCACGAGAAAAGAAAACGAAAGCCAGATTAACGCCTGCTGGACAACAACAGGCTAGCTAGCTAGTAATGTTGTTGACCAATGTGTATAACGGCGTTGGGTAGCTAACGTTATATTAGCTATTTGACGCCATACTAATACTCGTTTCGAGCAACGGAACTGACGCTGTAAACAAAGATAAAGTAGGGAATCTATTACCTCGATGTGCCAGTGCTGTTCAAAGTAGCTAATGTAGCGCAAAACCCAACATCTAAAGAGGTTTCACCTGCTAGCAAGCTAGCTAATCCCTTTCGAGTGACTTCTGTTTTGCAAATTGCCCAGACAATCTATACCGGAAACCGATTTCACTGTGGTAGGAAATGTAGTTCTTACCACATTCCTTATGCCGTATACTCAATTGTTTTGTTTCGTTAAGGAAACTACATTTGAAAACTTCCGCATATGCCATGTTGTCGTCACATGTTTTCATACAAACCGTCACCTAATGGCGACGGTTTGTATTTATGAGCCCATTTCTAGGTCTTGCAGGCTACTTAATCACTGCCGCAATTGTTTAATTGTTGTATTTGAATCGTCCTTGTTTATTTTTCAGGACTGATCTTTGTCTTTAACTTTAGCTAAATCTCTTACTTGTGGGGAACCACCGAACATACTTGGTTTTAGTCAATTATTTCAAGCTTTGCCAAGATCCAAACGATTCAAAAGCGAGACCTATTGAGCACAACACTGTGCATCTTTATCTATTCATTAAAGTTATATTTCTGAATATAAGATGCAATGCTATAATCTTGTCTGTGTTTGCTACTCCTAAACTTTGAAAAATATAGACAAATGAAAAAACAAACACCTTTAGATGTACAAATCCCCTTTCCCACCTGTTGCCTGTCAGACAGTAATGAGGTAACTCTCTCTTTATTGACGCACATAACCGGAATATGAAGCATGGCTGCTGAAGGCGAAAAGAAACCAGTGCTGGAGATGGTAAGAAGGAATAATGCCTTATGATTTATGGCATTGTATACAGCTACACGTATTTGTTAGCGTTAACCTCTGCCTGTAAGAAAACATTGAACTAAAAAATCTATGGATAGCATTTCGCCCGTAAACGCCTCACGTGGGTAGCTACAGGAGCTAGCAGCAAATAAACAGTTATTACACCTTAAAAGTCTAACTCCTTTAAATCTGTTCCATCTAATGCAACATTTGTTGTGGACGGATACCATCAGTGGCATTATTAAAGCTAAGCTACGGTTACCTGAAACGTAAATAACTGTACTTACTTTACATTTGCTAACACTCCATATCCGACTCAGAATTTCTCCACTAGGGGGCAGTATTGAAGCCTTTATAAATACAGTGTGGTTGAAACGGACATGTGCGTTGCCTCAGTTTCTTAGAATACTGTGGTCAACATGTGTAACTGATGCTTATCCATGTGCATATGTGAAATAATAAATACTCTATGTATTGGCAATGCATAGTAGCTCCATCTGCAACATCTGGATGGAGTCCATGGTTCAGTTTTGAGTGTGATGTGATAATGATATGTTGTGTTTTAGGTCCAGGCTGATGGAGGTGATGAGGGATGTGTGACATTTGTGCTACATAATGAAGATCATACCCTGGGAAACTCCCTCAGATATATGATCATGAAGACGTAAGTGTTGTTCTTCAGACTCAGCATGTTGTGGTCACTGGTTCGACCTTTATGACATCTAGCCCCTGAAATCCCATGGGGCTTCAAAAGAACAAAGATTGTGGCTGACTCATTTGAGTATTTTGCGACTTCCAGGTTATTTTGACAGTTGATCATTACGATATTTCAAAGGGACTTTTTTAAGACGTAGTTTTAAGTGAGGTTGTATGACGTACTTATTAATAGTCAGTGTACTACTACCTGCAATAGATGTTTGTCTACAAGTTCCTAGTTTGAAGTACCAGCACAGAAGAAAAGCAATATACTGTGCAGCAGAAAAACCTATTTTAGCCAACTATAAACTTCACTGTAGGCTATATTTAAGAAATGTAAGCCACCTCACTCCATTGATGAAAACAGTCATTTTAATGCACAGAACTACGACTGCTGTCAGTTTTGTTGTGTTATTGTTTGCCTTTGGTTTATTAAACCAAATATTTTTACTATGCCCTAATGTTTTTAAGGTTTTCAATAATGTAATTTGAATTGACTTGTTGTGGAAAAATGCTATCAAAAAATGGCCTTGCCCTACCTTTTAAAACACCAATTTCACACAATAACTCAAACAAACAAATTGATTAAAGCTCAGGAGGCAAAGCTGATTTAATCAATCCAATGAGCAATTACAAATTAAATGTAGACGGTGAAGTTGTGTAATGAAAAACTTGGGTCACGGGTTCCTCAACAATGCAATATGAATACAAACATGACATAAAACAAAGGAAAACAAACAATCAGGTATCATGTGATGTCGGCGGGATATCAAATTGTCAATGGGCAATAATCCCCCATTGAGGCAACAAGACTGTGGCATCAGTTTTTACATATTGATATATGATGTAAAAGTGCCTTGAATTGTCGGAATACCAAAATGGTGCTATATTAATGATATTTCATTCGCATGTTTTACCATTACCCCCATCCACAGTAGTATATTATTTAGCTTCTTGCGGGTCTGTTTCTCCAAACTGGGGGCGTGCCGACCTTCATCTGGAAAATGACCTCATACAACCCCACTTTGAAAAGTCCAAACTATCCATCTAAGTGTGTATGTGCTTCCACTGTGGTCCCAATGTTTTGTTCTTAGTTAGTCAACGTCAGCTGGGATGACTTGATCGTGGAAAATTGTAATAGCGTCAACACCCTTCCACCCAATCTAAGAAAAAAATTGATAATAACCTCAGATCATGTTTCCAATTTCCTTTTTTTCCATCAGTGTGGATGTGGATTTTTGTGGCTACACCATCACCCATCCGTCTGAGAGCAAGATCAACTTTCGCATTCAGACACGAGGTAAGAGACATTACTAAACCCCCGCCACTTCATCTTCTTTTTCCTCTCCTTACCTATGGGCTCAGAACAGTCTCGTAATACACACATGCACACAGAAGGATTCACACTTGTATTTCCGGATCCACACTTGTGTTTTTCAATGCACACACAAATGTGTTCCGTTTCATATACATGTAAATAAAATCCAAATACAGAAAAAAGTTTTACATATGTATTTTTGATCCTCACATATTTGTTTTCCGTTTAAATCCTGCAAACACAAACAGCTTTCTGTGCACGGATCGCTGTGCATTCGTGTGTGGGTTTTTTGAGACTCCCCTGACGGTCAGCCGATTCGTACTTTTACATTACATTGCATTTAGCTGACGCTTTTATCCAAAGCGACTTACAATAAGTACATTCGACCAGGAAGACACAAACTTGAAGAAAACAGAATCATAAAGTACATCAGGTTTCATAGAGCCAAACATTTCAAGTGCTACTCAACTGGCTATAGATAAGCCAGTCCTTTATTAGTATATAAGTGCAACTTATATACTTGTAATTTGTTCTATCTATAGCCAATCAGATGTCTCCTCAATTCTAAGCCAATCACATGAGCGCGCCCCCACGGGGGTATGATTTATTGCGTTCATGACACTTCATATACGCATTTTGCGCTGTCCGGTCAGCTCGCTAAACAGAAGGCGGAGCATCAGGTGATCATGCAGAGCTGCGTGTCTCCGTCAGACTCAGCAGCTGATCTGATCTCTCTCTCGCGTCCGGTTATACTTCACTCGCGTTTGTTACCTTTTTACTAACGGTATCTCGGCACCGAAACCGTAGTTTCGGTTACACACCGGTGGTTTCTGACTTGGCTCGTTGTCAGCCGGTATCCAGCTGCCCAGACATTTCGAGGGGAAAAAGGATGCAAACGGGGCGTTCGGGTGCCGTGGGAAGAACCTCCGTTTATTCACGTTCTTCAGACTAATCAGTTACATTGACACTGTATTGCATACATACAGACTAGTTACTTTTCCCGTTCTGTCCACTTTCTCTATACTTTCGTCTCTCTCTTCATAACTCCGCACTTGGCCATCACATTTTACACACACACACACACACACACACACACACACACACACACACACACCAAAAACCCACGACCCCTTGCGGCTGCTACTCTTAAAGTGACAGGCCAAGCCTGTAACACGTTTGTGTCCATATCGATCAGATCCAGCTCTCCTGATCGGCCTTTATAGAGAGCACCGATCAAACTATTAAGAGTGAATATCGGCCGATAATGACCGGCGGGGCTCGGGGGGAGCCCCGCCGGTCATTATCTAGCACTGGCTTCGTAGTGCACTGATCGATTAGGCTAAGCTAGCCTGTAGCTGCTCCCTCCACACTCACAACAACTTCATACAGACATAGGCTACATAAAGCAGCTGTATTCGCTATACAGGAAACACACATTTAAAACGGTTTTGCCTGCCGTTTTTGTGTACACAAGCATTCATCAATGGTTCGGAAATTGGCGCTGTACTGAGAGTGGAGGTGTCCTGAGATTAGCTCCTGCAGGCAGGCTCCATGGACCTGTCAGCTCCGGACTGCGCAAAATGCGTACATGAAGCGCTACGTCATCAACGCAAGAAATCTACCCTCGTGGGGGTGCGCTCATGTGATTGGCTTAGAATTTAGGAGACATCTGATTGGCTATAGATAGAAAAAATTACAAGTACGAATCGGCTGACCGTCAGGGGAGTCTCAAAAAACCCACACACGAATGCACAGCGATCCGTGCACAGAAAGCGGTTTGTGTTTGCAGGATTTAAACGGAAAACAAATATGTGAGGATCAAAAATACACATGTAAAACTTTTTTCTGTATTTGGATTTTATTTACATGTATATGAAACGGAACACATTTGTGTGTGCATTGAAAAACACAAGTGTGGATCCGGAAATACAAGTGTGAATCCTTCTGTGTGCATGGGTGTATTATGAGACTGTTCTGAGCCCATACTTACCATCTGTTACGTTTATGTAAGCATACATGCGCAGGTCAGTTTTCAGGCTGTTGCAGAGTAAACATACTGATTGGAGTCTGGTGCTTCCACTTTGTCTGCTCAGACTAACAGGAAAGCTCAGCGGCTGACTTAACACAGATGCACAGACTCTTGTTATTGTCAACAGAAAGCTAACCACTTGCCTTGTTGCACTAAAAACTGTAATCCGCTTTAAGCAACAATTCTGTTCTAAGATTTAGTTGTTGAACTTAGATTCAGGAGGTCAGGGGGCTTCAGTACATCAAGACTCAATAACCTTTCACTGGTCCACTGTGCGTTCTATATTTATTCGTTCTTTCTTCTGTATTGATTACACCCACCCCCTCACCATAACCACAATGAAATGGGTTTGTGGACTCCATGTCATTTTGGAGAAGATGGCCATGACTGCAAAAAGCAGTTATTTTTATAACTTTGTTTAAAGTTTTTTTAATTAGCAATTAGATGACAAGTTACTCAAGCGAAGAGTGATGTGTACAAATCTCGTGCTAAGCTTAAAGGTGGGGTAGGTAAGTTTCAGAAACCGGCTCGAGATACACTTTTTGTTATATTCCATGGAATGCTCTTAACATCCCGATAGCAATGAATATCTTAAGGCGAGACACGGCAGGCAAAAACATTGTTTTTCAAGTACTGGTAAATTTTGAGATTTTGTGCTATTTTGATTCTATAACATGTTTTCTTTCAGGCTTTTGGAAGGAAAACGTACAAAATACACATTTAAGTATTTATTTTACTATAGTTTGTCTATTTGCGTCTGTAGATTTATCCTACATTCACCAAAAGTTAGCATTCTAACGTAACATAAAATACCTCGACCGCTGTGTGCACCATGTCAACAGAGGTATCGCTGGAAAGCTCCGTCTCTCCTGCACAATCTCATCGGATCCAAATATGGTCATTTCCTTTGTATCAGCAACCAATCGTGAAAGCACAAAGGGGTCTTAAACCAAGAAACAAAATCTCATTGGCTGGTGTCAATTTCTGACAACGTGATTCGTTCAGATGCGTCACGTGGTGTGCTAAAACACTTCCTGGTTAGCTTTCAGCTAGAAATTGAAATCTCAAAATGGCAAAAAGAACGGCGAAAAAAAAGTTCACAGAGAAGACGACAACAATTGTCACTTGCACGAAGCAAGGTTATACAAAAAACAAATGAACATCACCCCGAACATGAGATACCTTCACGGAGTGCGTCGATGCGCAAGCTGTCATCCAAAGAACAGGAGGGTTTAGCTAGCGCCTCACTGCAATCTTTAAAGGTCGTTTTCTCAAAATTAGTTTTTTCTAATACTCTGAGTTCGAAATTTCAACTTCAGTAGCACGTAGAGACACCAAACCTTCCAGTTATATTCCTATCAATATTATGAAGGCTTTTACAGAAGGGTTTGTTCATATATCATTCATAGCCTGAATTATACAACATTGTATACCTAAAAACATGGCGAAAATTGATATTATAGGGCTGTTGACAGTATTTTCTGATTTATGGAGTGATAAAAAGAGATATCCAAAATCCCTTCTGTAAATGCCTTAGATCAGGGGTGCCCAACCAGTCGATCGCGATCGACCGGTCGATCGCGGGGAGATTCCCAGTCGATCGCGAGATTCCCAGTCGATCGCGAGATGTGTCTAAAAATAGAACAACAATATTCTGTTTTATCGTTAATGTCGTATAACATAATCTTCCTGTGCCAGAATAATGCACTTGAACGCATCAAAGCTTTGTGATTGGCCGGCGTGACCCCACTGTGTCGGGGCGTGGCTGGTGGGCAGTGGGCAGTATTTTGCTGACGTTGTCCGTGTCAACAGGAGTGACAGAGTCCGCACACACACAAGACCGCAATTATGGCAGAAGCAAAAGAGCCCAAAATATATCATTTTCACTCCGAGTGGGAGGATGATTATTTGTATCTATTCCAATTCAAACTCCATCTGTCATCTGCAATGCGAGCGTGGCTTTATCGAAGAAGGGTAATTTAGGAGCGGCATTTTCAAAACAGTGCACAAACGCTACGAGACGGAACTCCCTCCTAATTCTGCCCTACGCTCCCAAAAGGGGAGGGGCCTGAAATGACAGGTAAATGCACAGCAGTCCATTTTCACCAGGCCCAACAACAAGAGCAAGGCTGCTACCATAGCATCTTATCGTGTCAGTCACGTTCTTGCGAAACACATGAAGTCTTTCAAAGATGGCGAAGTTGTGAAATAAGTATTCCTGGAGGCTGCCGATGCGCTTTTGGGGGACAGTAAACAACAACAATAACAGTAGCATTTCAACAGGTTTTTGATATAATAAAAACTCAAGTTAGATACCGTTATTAATCAGCTGTGGGTTTATTTTGTTTGAACTTAGTCATTATAATTATTGTACAAAATGGTATAAGAATGCAAACTTAAATTGATTATAGTCTATTATCAATTCAGGTTAAGAAACTGTTGCTTGCATCCTATTTTAAAGGCATTTATTTTTATACTCTACTAAAATGCAACAAAAAAGGGTTTGATTCTATTAATGTTGTCTTTTGTATTGCACTGTTGCAGCAGATTCCTGTGTAGCTTCAGATCTGAGTTGTCTTATTAGTAAGCCTCATTTATACTTTTGAAGCAACACTATTTCTATATAATGGCAAAGAAAGGGTTCAGAGTCTTTTCTTTTATTCCTGTGTCATATGTGGCAGCACTGTTCAATGTTTCTTGAAAACATTACCCACTGTAGTGACGTGTGAATAAACTCCAACTCTGTATCAACAACACTGTTGTGTAACTTCAGTTAAATACTTGTATGTGTGTAGATTAGAAAGAGCCGAGGTAAGATAAAGGATCTGCAGTATTTTATGGCGTATTAATCGCACAAAGGTCAGTTTTATACAAGTAGAAGTGTGTATTTATCTGGTAGCAGGCTGTCAGTAATGGCTACGCCTCTCTATTTGGACTGGTAGATCTCGGCAGA